TTTAAACGCTTTATTATAACGTTTACTCAAAACAATTGTTTTAATAGAAGTGTACATAGTTTCCCTTTTTGAAATGAATTAAATAAGTAAAAAATAAGTTCCAAAGTAAATGATATCTAAGTTTGAAAGTTATCTCTCTTTAGAAATATGTATAAATCAAACTGTTGCATTTTTTTCCATTTATATATACAAGATATGGCAAGATAACATCCATTTTCATACAAACAGATACCACTCCAACCCTATGACCAACAATCCTTTCCACATAAGTTTAACTGTCTTTAAACAATTTGAATAAAGATATGTACTGTAAAAGCGTTTTCCCGTTGAAAATAGACATGTTAGTACGCTCTGTTGGATAAACTATGAATAGATGAACATGCTTCCATACAGAGCACACAGTCTGTGGATGGTTTAATGAATAAAATACCAGATTTCAGCCGCTCTCCTCCTCCAACTTCGCCAAATATGGGGATACCTCTTGGAAGAATGCTCTGTTATTCGGGTGAAGCGACCTATAATGAACCTCAGTGGATAAGCTGATGCCCTCCAGAGTCCTGTCCTGTGGTGAGACTCACATCTGGATTTACTCTGAAGATCTCACACTTCATAAGATGCTAACACACAAACTCATACCTGGCTATTTTTAACGCAGGAAGTCAGATCTGTGTTCTCCTGCGCCCGGTTCAAATAGAGGACAGGAAGTGAAGGTGATGCACTTCCTGTAGCGCCCTGTTTGGCCGGCATTGAAGGATATTTGTGGGTCAGGGCCCCGTTTCTCTGTTTATGCACACTCTCTCAGTGTTGGCCTGGAAATAATGTTCCCTCCTTTGGCTACACTCGGTTTCACAGGAGAATAGAGACACACTCACACACATCAAATTGGCACTTAGGCTTCGAGTTGCCTAGCAACCGTGTGGGAAAGGTTATTATTCAGGCAACTTCTGTAGGTGTGTGTGAGAGTGGAGCAGTGACAGAGACGTATAGTTGTGCACGTGTGTGTTTGCAGACGTTTAGTGGCCGAGAGGGATCGTCTGTGAGGAATTGTTCAATTACACTTGCATCCAATCTGTTTACGCTTTCATCAGTGTGTGTGTGTGTGTGTGTGTGTGTGTGTGTGTGTGTGTGTGTGTGTGTGTGTGTGTGTGTGTGTGTGTGGTCCACTGTTTGGCACGTTTAATGTCTAGGCTCTCGTTGATCGCTCACAGATATGTGCGCCCCGTGTTAACCCATTTCCGGGTTTCCATGGTAACAGTGGGGCAGTGGCCCGGGGCGGTCAGAGGAAACCAAACACACAACACAACTCAGCGCTCGTACTCTCACTAGCCGGAGGACAGACTTTCCTCGACACTCTCTCACATTTCTCAGATTTGCCATCAGCTTTCCAATATCCCCTTTGCATTTGTCATCCTCTGTTTATTCTCCTCTCTCTGGGAAATCAGATGCTCATAGTCTGAATTTCAATAAGGAGGGATTAATTAGAAGGGTATGAAAATTAATTGAGGGTGGCAACACAGACAGACTTTGCTGATTAGGCCTCATTGATGTGAAGCGTTTTCATTGGGCGTCAGGCTGTATGAAGACGGGAGATAACACAGAGCTCCTGGGAGTCTACGCACTATAGAGGAGTAAAGCCTGCAAGTGGAGGATGGAAACTCACAAACCGATTGGTTTAAGGAATGCAAGGAAAAATAAGACTGGTCAGATATGGAGCTGCAGAATGTGTGAATGTTATTAACAGAGAGGCAGGAGGGAGAAATGTGAGGGAAAACATCTTTATTACTGAACTCCAGCCAAAGTGTGTGTTGTAGTTCTAGGGCCTCTCATTGAATCACACACATTCTCTACAGCTAAATGAGAGACAATTACTTCCACTACATACTTGAGTGAACACTCAGGACTGAAGACAATGAGCTTTCTGAAAATATTTCACAATGTACACAAAACAATGTGCTGGTAGGAATGCAAGTCTGAGTGATGCACTTGATGGGGTCTATTAGGAGTGTGTTTGGTTTGTCAAATCGCGGGAATTTTCAGATTTCAATACCTGAAGCAGACAAAGACTATAAGACTAGTGTTATATATATATATATATATATATATATAGACATTTTATTCATCGGGATAAACCCAAGTGTTCTCTAAGTTTTAAATAACGAACACACAGCAATCAAAATGATCCCTGTGTCCTGATCATTACAGTTATAGTACCACTTTTACACTGTTTTTCTACAAATAAAACATTGATAATTGTGCCATCCATTCTCAATTTTCAATCTTTTCATGTGGATCTTTGGATCATTTTAAATAAAGTGCAAAGCATATTTGTCTTACCTGCTGTGGTTGTGTGTATTTCCTCTCTAGCCATGGAGTTTCACGAGAAGCTGCAGACTCTGGCGGAGAAGGAGGGGCTGCGGGGTCGCAAGGTCAGCCGTGCGCTGGAGAGTTTCAGCTGGAACATCACCATCCTTAAGGTCAGCAACACACACTCACACCTTCAGGGTAAGGCAAGGCAAGGCAAGTTTATTTATATAGCACTTTTCAACACAAGGCAATTCAAAGTGCTTTACAAAAAATGAAAGAGATTAAGAAAATGGCATTGAAAATCAGTCATTAAAAAGAAAAGCTAATAAAATAAACATTAAAAGAAAAAATACATGGATAAAAGTTACAGTGCAGTCAATTAAACATTAAAAGAAAAAAAGTACATGGATAAAAGTTACAGTGCAGTCTAAGATATGAATAGTTCAATTAAAAGCAGCGACAAAAAGAAAAGTCTTCAGCCTGGATTTAAAAGTAGTCAGAGTTGCAGCGGACCTGCAGGTTTCAGGGAGTTTGTTCCAGATATTTGGAGCATAATAACTGAACGCTGCTTTACCATGTTTAGTTCTGACTCTGGGGACAGAAAGCTGACCAGTCCCTGAAGACCTAGAGGGTAGATCATTAAAACTTGTTTTGGCCTGTAGCTAGTTGGCATCCCTGCCTCCATTCCTACTCTTCATTACCCATCTCTCCTTACTACCCCCCACTCATTATTCTCTCACCATTTCCTCATGTCTTCTTTCTTAGGGTCAGGCTGACTTGCTGAAACACGCCAAAGCTGAAGTCCAGGAGAACATGAAGCAGGTCCACGATGCTGCGTTGACGGGAAACCTCACCAAGGAGAGCATCGGAGTGAAAAGAGTCCGCTCCCAAACGCGGCGAGGCCAGGATGAGTAACCCACCACCAGAGCTGGAGGACCCTCGGCATAGCGAGCAAATAAGAGGACGTGACAAATTTGCCATTGTAGCTGCTGTGACAAACCCTTTGTGTGTTGTTAAAAGTGTTTCCAAGGTCTAAGTGTCAGACGTTCACAAATGCCATGTGAGAGCAATAGCAAGTACTGTTTTTTAGTCTTCAAAATGCAGACGCTGTCCACCCACCTGTCGCAGAAAAACAATCCGTGGCACTTCTGAAGAGACGGGAGAGAAATGACACTGGGGAGATGAATGTAGTTTTGAAGCCAAGGTTAAGTTGTTTGTTCTGCATACACCTGTACATACACAAATGTCTATCAATGTTTTAAATGTGCAATGTGTCTTGAAGAGAGAGGAAGAAAAATGTCATTTTCGAGCTGAGTGAGGGATTAAAAAAATGACTTGTGCTTCAACAAAGCTAGCAATTCATAGCAAGGATTCCAATCAAGATGAGGTAAGGTTGAACTGAAACACTGATTATAAAAGTGGGAGTAAGCAGGAGTCTGTGGATGTTTTAGAAATGTTCACGTTAAATCTCATGGACCAGCGCAGCCCCTTTATTACATCCTCCATCTAATTTCCATTAAACATTTGTGGGTCCTCGTCCAATCACCTTGAGGTCCTTTGTGTTGCCATGAAATCCTCCCTTTAACTCTCAAAATATTGTTGTCTCGCATACAGTATTTTCTATTTTTCTATTTTCCTTGTGCTAAACAAACCACTGTTACCTACCATAATGATCAACAGACTAGAGGTCTGCCTCTAGGGAACAAATGCTGTTCAAAGTGCTTATGTTGTGTGCAAAACACTGTACAGTATTTTACTATGTCATTTCAATCCTTTTGCTGTAAAGAATATTTTACATAAGTTATTGTTCCTGAATGAGAACATTCCAGTTATGGGTGCATTAGATGAGGCTGGCAGAAGGTTTCAGTTCACGGTTCGCCTTCCTTCACAGAAGATGGAAATAAACTAGTTTTTAAATGACTGATGCTCATGTGTCTGTCACTGTTTTTCCTTTGATGTGCATTCACTCATAGTAGGCAGAGATGACAGCTGGAGACAGTATATGTGAAACTGACATGTCTACACTGGGGTAGAGGATGATTAGTCACATAAATGATGCGCATTTGTAATAATTAATTCAACTTTTCGAACAATCTGAGCATAACATTCATTTAGTAGCTGTTCTGGAGCATTCAATCATATCACATGATATTAATCAATATTGGAGCTCTCGTGAAAGTGTAGACATTTTACTTATTATATTTTGGTCCACTTTTTGTCCACTCCAGACCGATGTATCTTGATAACTATTGGAGGGATTGTAATGACATTTTGTCTGTTCCCCAGAGGAGGAATCATACTGACATTTACTCTAGCAACTCCACATGGTTTACATTTATGGTTTCGAGGGAATGTCTCCAAAATATAGGACTAATTTCAATAACATTTACTACAGCCATTGACATTTTCCTCAAGCGCCATTACCATGTGTGCTGAAGAGCAACAAATTAGCATTATAAAAGGCATTATTTTTGACCATGTTGGCATAAAAAAAAGCAACCTGTTATTCCATGAAAACAAGGCTAACATCATAGGCCGATGAAGACTATGTGATATGATGACAACCTTAGAGTAGAAACGTATTGGAGTGTGTTCAAAGTTAGTTTGATCAAATCTTGTTTTTAAGGTTAAGAGAGAAATCTGGACCCAGACACCATCCACTTTGAAGCATTCCCAAACAGGCACAGTAACATCAGTGTGTAGCAAGAGCGATGTCGTTTTATTGGTCTTGAGTTAATTATGCTGAATGGGCAGCTCGAGGGACAATCTTTGTGTGTGCTGCGTTACACGTTACCACAGGACACCAAAACAACTCAGTTGTAATGTGAACAAAATGACAACCATCGATAAAAAGATTAAAATGTCCACGTTGGAATCAATAAAAAAGAAAAGGAAAAAAAGACATACTCCATACTTTAATGGTTTTCATCCAGGAACCTAAACTAAGGGTTAAAAGTCTTTCTTAAAAAAAAGAAACTAACAAAAACAGTAAGTTCACAGAGTCAGGTTTTGTTTGGTTGAGAGAAGAAGAACGGTCAGAGGCACTGGTTCGGGGGGGGGGGGAGAAAGCTGATAACTGGCCAGAGGATGTCATCCTTTCATTTCACAGAAGAGAGCTCCCTCTGAAAGAGCAGAGACGAACAGACATAACAAGCAGAGGTTTGGCCAGATGTCCACATTCAGGAGAAGCAGAGCAATTCTTACAGTAAGAGAGAGACCGCCCTGTATACAAATTGCAGTTTGATCCAAGTCTTTAGAGTAATCATGTAGTGACAGGGTAAGCAGTTCAATGGCACCATCTCTCTGTAGAGCAGGGGGCTACAGTTAAATATCAGAAGTGAGGGGACATGATGAGGAGACAGGCATTAGGGAAATGAGATGGCATACAGCATGAGCTCAGACAGGAAGTGGCAGAAAGAGACGGAGAATAACGTAATGGTGACTGGAAGCGTCACAGTCCACATGTGCAATTCTTTAGCCGACAGCAGCTCCACCCTCTGATCCCAAGTCAGTTTGTTTCTGGTTCACAGGTCGTTGGGGTTGACGATGGTGAAGTCAGAGTCCTTGCTGTGGGTGGAGCCCTCGTCTGGGCTGGAAGACCCTGAGGTGCCGGCCGTCAGCGGGTCCTGGAGGACCCCCGCGGCCCCCTCCGGGTCCAGGCGCACCAGGCCGCGCCCCCGCCTGATTGGAGGGGTGCGTTCGGCTGCAGCCCCCCCTCGTCCTCCTCCTCCCTCGCCGGCTGCCAGGTCTCCGTCCTGGCACACCAGGATGTAGTCGTCCCAGTTCTTACCCTCGGAGCCCAGGGAAGACCCCGCCTGCACACGAGAGATGGCAAGGTCTGTGTCTTTGTTCTGTTTTGGCAAAAATGTAGTCCTCCTATTGTAATGATTTACTAAGTCTAAAAGACATCATATTTGATAACTTTGTTGAAAATCATGATATTACATGCAATAAATAAACACATTTAGTTCCTCTTATATCTCTGCACTCACTTTCCTCCTTTAACCATACAGAGTGATATGCTAGTAATGGTCTAATCAACTTTAGATTCTGACCAATCAGATGATGAATAAAGACGAGGGCTATGTCTGATTGGCCAGAGTTAACAGCATGGCGCTTATCATACAAAAACAGTGCCTACAGACAGAATGTAATATAATATGTTGTTACTATATTCAAAGTGCAATAGTGTGGGCTTTGGCAAAGTAATGCAATTGCAATGACGTTAATACAAGGTATATTGCGCAGTGCTATTATGTACCCTGTTTAATCTAGTGCACTAAGAGGAAGTAGAAGATGTGTACACAAACCCAGGCTGTATAACCATAATCTGCTGCTTGTTTGGCCCTAAAGCTAAATGAATTAAAATGCGACAAACCTCAGACTCCAGGGAACATGTGACTTAGTATTTTCATTATACAGTCGCTGTAAAAAACAGCACATTGCTGGGTTTGATTTATTCCAAATGGGAGAGCTTAAGCAGCCACTTCCTGCAGAGAAAACAATTCTGGTACAAACATTGGATCATTTTTGCACAGAGGGTAGAATTTCTTGGCATCACATGATCAGATTTAAAGTCACTGAACACTGGGTCAGAAGGTTGAACGGTTCAAACAATGACTGAAAACTAATCCTGTCTGAACCGAGCGTGGTAGTTTATATTGATACAAGTGCCGACAGTGCATAGCTCTTATTCCAGTAGTGTAAAAGAGGACTGATGGTCAGTTAACCTGTTGCTCAGGGGGGGTGATGACCTGCTCCTTCTCCCCCTGCTCCTCCTGCTCCTCTTCCTCCTCCTCCTGCTCCTCCTCCTCCTCCTCCTGCTCCTCCTCCTCCGTGCTCACGCTCCCGTCCAGATCAGAGTCCCGGCTCTGCCCGCTGTTTGCTTGTTCTTCCTCTCGGAGGTGATTGCTGGCGTTCAGAGCCGTCTCAGCGGCGGCCGCGGTGGAGGTGTAGTGATCGTCAGCGATGGCGATCTCCTCGTTCTCCTCGGCCTCCAGCAGGCTCTGGTTGAAGCGCAGCGACCCCTTCAGGATGTCTTTGATCTGATGGGATACGAGCAACGTGCCAATGTTACAGAAACCAATGAACATGTAGAGAGTATGTATTCCAAAACACATCACAGACATTGCTGTGGGTTTGCTCACTGACCTGTTTGAGTCCAGCCAGTGAAACTAGAACCTCGTCCTCCTTCTCCAGATGCTCTTGGAGAATCACTTCCTGGATTTTACCTGTGGAGTAGTAATAAGCACCACTAAGCTATACAACCAGCTACAAAACAATACATTATATTAACAAATTGGAAAACATTTATTTCAAAACCTTCCCTAAAAAAGAATCTAGTGCACTATATCATAAATTAAACGTTATATGGATTTCGTCAATTGGATTGCTGCATTTCAAGGGGGGAAAAGAGTCCATACCATAGGTGCTAATATCTAAATGTAATCAGACGAATACATTGCAAAAGTAACCATGATAAAGACACGTTTCTTTTTAAGTGTAGTCAAATACATAACAAAACATAAAGGAATATTTAAGTTTAAGTTGATGAACTGCTATTAGCATCAAAATGTTCATCAACTTAAATACATCCAAATTAAATGTTGGATTTACTTGTTTAGGACACTAACACATGATGTAATTCAAACTATAAAATAACTAACAGCGTTTAAGACAGTGTGTTAGATCCTATAAATAAACATGGAGATTTGACTGTCGTCTGTTGCTGGTGTCGAGTTTCTGTACTCACAGATGTGAGAGTTCATCATCTTGGCGCAGTATTTGCTCATTGCCTCCAGATCATTGATCTGGCCCTGCAAGAACGACACCTGAGCTTCCAGGTGGTCCTCCTCCTGTGACACACACACACACACACACACACACACACACACACACACCACACACACACACACACACACACACACACACACACACACACACACACACACACACACACACACACACACACACACACACACACACACACACACACACACACACACACACACACACACACACACACACACAACACACAACACACACACCACACAATCACACACCACACACACACACACACACACACACACAAACACACACACACACACACACACACACACACACACACACACACACACACACACACACACACACACACACACACACACACACACACAGGTGAAAAAGAGAACAGAAACAAACCGCAGCTTGGCAGGCAGAGGGAAAACAAAGCCACAGAGGAGGCATTAGGGTTGTATCTGTAGAGAGACGAACAATAATATGACAGACAGAGACATGGAGACAGTCTGTCAGAGGAAAACAAAGACGTTAACGATAAGAGAAGGACAGCAGGAAGAACATCTCACCGACTCTTTCTTGCTCATGCTCTTGCTGTGGGAGCGAGAACGAGTGATGTTGAAGAAAGAGTCTTTCTTGGTGTCGGAGAGGGGAGGAGATGAAGTGCTTACATCACTCCCGACGGAGGGGGGGAGAGGCGGGGAGGCGGTGAACTGAGCGCGCCCAGCAGAGAGGCTCTCTGTGCTGGGAGAGGAGCTGACCATGCCTGCAGGGGGGACACAACGAGGGAGGACAGGAGATTAGTATTAACACAAAACAAATGTGCATCCTTTTCAATCACAAATACAAAGATATGATCTCAGAACCGAAATGTTTTAACAGTGTGATACAGATTGAGCAATGGCTGTTCATTCTTGACTTCGGCCATATGTGTCATCAAATCATTTAGCATTATGACCATTTGTGAAAAAGTGGGACAAAAGTATTTGGAACATGCATTAAGATTTGTTGTCACATAATACTGCTGTTTAGGACAATCAGTGCTTTTAATGTTTACATTTCTAAATAAATAATTTAGATGTTTTATATTATACAAGCCATTCCATGTCATTAAGGAGTAGCAGGGTACGACCAGGATATGCATCCTCCAGCGTGCAATAATTGGAATGATTATAAAATCTAAAATCCAAAAGTTATGATTAAAAAAAATCTAAAACAAATAGATTAATTACATGTGTTTTTTGTATTATGTATAAATAACTGAAAATGTAAATAGAAATTCTAAATTAATCCAACTTTTTTTAAACTTAATTACCGATGTTTATCAATTGATAATTAAATTGCAAATGTTAAAATAGTTTTTTAAACATGTATTATTTGAGTATAATCTAAAGTTATTTAAAGGCTCAATGGTTGAAGAGGAAACCACGTGTCATTTAATTTTTCTTTATCAAAAGGCCAAGAAAACACTTGCAAACACATGCCACACAACAACAACAACAACAACTGTGCAACACACACAGACTTCAGCATATTGTATGGTCAAAGCAATGCTGGCAGCAGATGCCATAATTCCTCCAGGATGTTATCATTTCAATTTCCACTGATCTGGATAGCTGTGATCTCCCTCTGCTGGTCAAAGTGTACCATGACATGTTCTAAAGTCCACTTACTGTCCTGACTAGCTGCTAATAGAGCAGCAGGAAAGCTGAATGAAGACCTTGTGTGTCAGTGTGAGTCTGGAAAAGCAACCTGAGACACTTCCCCTGAAACTACAACACACACACACACACACACACACACACACACACACACACACACACACACACACACACACACACACACACACACACACACACACACACACACACACACACACACACACACACACACACACACACACACACACACACACACACACACACACACACACACACACACACACACACACACACACACACACACACACACACACACACACACACACACACACACACACACACCACACACACACACACACACACACACACACACACACACACACACACACACACACACACACACACACACACACACACACACACACACACACACACACACACACACACACCTTTGCTGAGGTGGACCGGCATGCTCTCGGACTTGAGCAGACGGTAGTGCTGGTTCTGGACACGGCTCGGGGTCTGCGGGGGGGCGTGGCCTGAAGGGGGGTCGGCCAGCGGGTGAGGCAGGGCGGGCGCTGACCCCAAGGCGGGGGAGGTTGACGTGGAGGAGAAGGAGGAGGAGTGAACCTCCGTGTTGATAGGCGAGATGCCGCTGGAGCTGCTGGATATGGCCGGAGCGATGAGCTTCCTGCCGAAGCTCAGCAGGCTGCTGGACACCTTGTTGATGTTCAGGGGCGCAGGTTTGGAGCCAGAGCTGGGAGAAGAAGATATATTTATTAGATGGTTGATACTTCTTACTACCACACTTTTAATATTCAGATGTATTCCATACAGGATTTGTTGTTGTTTTCTGTTCATAAATAAAGCCTCACTTTCCTAGACTTGAAACTTGTGTGATTAGTTTCTCTCACAGTGAACGATTTAACTCCTTTATGCTTTTCGGTGAAGTTGTATAGTTACAAAATTGCCATTAATGAGGTTTTAATGGCCTCGTCTTCTTGGCTCTCTCAAGACTTGAACGTATGCGCTAATGAGACCAATTTTGCCAAAGCAGTTGAAAATTGCCACTTAATTGCTGTGATCAAAAGTTATAAAACTTCAAAGATAAAAATGTAGGAACTCAGAGTATTCACTGTAACGGGCTGCCAATCTCATGCATATTTCAAGCCTCTGTTAAATGATTTCTGCTTGGCACTGAAAGGAAATGGAAGCTTGTTTAAACTTGGGTGGTAAGACCAAAGTACCTTGAGAATGGTGCATGGGAAACATTTAGGAAAATTCAGTTCAAGGCACAAGTCAGATTTATATGTCTATTCATTATGCAAAAAAAACAAAAACAAAGCTGCATGAGAACTCTTATAGAGAAAGTGGGTGTTTCTCAATGTCTAGGACACTTCCTTGGTAGGACATGTCCCTCCTAGTCAGGTCCTTCAGAAGCAAGGCAAGAATCCTTCCTAGCCTCGGAAAACGAAGAATTGTGGAACAGGCTAACAGGTGTGCATCATATGCGAGGCCCCGCCTTAAATGGAGCGCGATTTCCGCCGAAGATTTGGAAATGTGTCCGTGCGCAAAGCATTGTGGGGATTTTAAGACCGGAGGATACACCTGTGCAGCCTCACAATTTCCCGCAACGAAGGACGCTGGCCTCGGTAGAATTCCAAGCATCCTGGACATTGGAACAGTCCTTCGGCGGGACTCGATGACGTAGCATCCTTGAAATAGTGGCTCTGGAGGAGCCTTCCTCGACATCGAGAAACACTGTGGGTGTTTCTCAATCGCGAGGATGCTGGCTTGGTAGTTGCGTACTTCCAAGTAACTTCCTTCAGAAACTAAGCAAGTATACTTCCAAGCCACGGCTTCGGAAAACGAAGAAGAATGGAACAGGCTAACAAGTGTGCCACTCTCTCTAACGGTTTCAACATAAACTGTACCGAAAATAAATACCTCACGATGTCTATCTAATTATGAACTTGCTCTACTTTCACGGAACACATTTTTGATGATAACAAACAAATGTAACAAAGTCACATATTTACCAACACATTTTCTACGCCACTACATACTTACATTGAAATGTGTGCTGCGTCGGTTCAGTAATTCTCCGCAAGGGTTTTTGAAATTGGTCCGTACGAAAACACGTGGGTTTGCTATCCTGACTCCAAGATGGTGGAATGAGCTCCCCATTGACATCAGGACAGCAGATAGCTTGCACATCTTCCGGCGCAAACTGAAAACTCATCTCTTTCGACTCCACTTCGAGCGATAGAACTATTAACAAAGCACTTTTATACTAATAAAGGACTGGCTTATCTAAAGCCAGTTGAGTAGCACTTGAAATGTTTGGCTCTATGAAACCTGATGTACTTATATGATTCTGTTTTCTTCAAGGTTGTGTCTTCCTGGTCGAATGTACTTATTGTAAGTCGCTTTGGATAAAAGCGTCAGCTAAATGCAATGTAATGTAATGTCCGTGCGCAAAGCATTGTGGGGATTTTTAAGGACGCGAGGTCTACCCATGTGCAGCCTCGAAATGTCCTCCAAACCAAGAACGCGGCCTCCGTGGAATTCCAAGTATGCTGGAGATTGGAACAGTCCTTCGGCGGCACTCGATGACATAGCATCCTTGAAATATTGGCTTGGAAGCCAGAATCCTCGAGATTGAGAAACGGCCCCAGTATTAGCAGTGTGTTTAGCGCCATTTTGGCAAAAAGATATACCCGTTTGTAACACATTGATGGATGGTTAAAGCTACGGTTATGGCTCTTTACACCGTTAAGAAAAGTAATCAATATTGTAATTGGCTGTATAAACAGTCTACAAGGGGATGAGGGTTTCAAATATTTTTTTCAGATAAAATGGGACAATTTAAAAAGGGTAAACTGACTTTCAATCTTGGGAGCGATAAACATTTGTGTGTGCATGTAGATTATACCGTGTCTTGTTCATCAGGTCAGCTCCCCTTGTTTTATAGTAATCCAGATTCTGCTGGAACTGGTAATTAACCGGTCGTGGATAGTTCTGTAAAAGTAGGGAAATACAAACATTTTTTCAATAAAAAAGTCATTAAAAATATCTGTGGTGTGCGTGATAAGCAGAGTAAACATGTCAGCCTAAAATCTATATGCACAGTATATGCACGCATGACTACGTAAACAAGCAGATACATGTGCGTTTCTTAGTCACTGCATATGAGCAACGAGCCCGTTTCCATCTCAACCCCCAACCTGCCTGTCATTATGGATGATGCCCCCTCCCTAGGTGTCACTGTGATAGGACATGTTGTGACATGGTCGTTCAGCTGGGGGAAACGCTGTCACGTCGGATCAGCTACTTCCTGGGTTATCATCCCGGGACAGTTGTTGTGTTTGAGTGTATGGGTCAGTGAACTTGCAGGAAGAACAGAAAATGGTTTGTGGTGTTTGCTAAGGTCAAAAGAGAACTCATGTCTGAGCTCTCATTCCTTCACATCAACAGATAGTTTTTATAGAAAAAGGTAGAAGGAAGAATGTAAGCCTGCTGTGTGTGAGGAGGAGTGACAGAAAACATGGCGTCTGATATGGTGTGTGTGACTAGAGCAACATTGAAACAAGTCTATGACAGGAAATGCTGACGACTGTAAGATATGGTAATAAAAAAAGAGGAATCAGGATTTATTACATCCGGTACAGAAATTCTCAAGGTGTCGACACAGACTCACGCTTTCCATCTGTTGCAGTCACAACGGTCTAACATTACAAATGATAATTACATCATTGCAATAGGCAGAAGTTACATTAATTAGGAAACAGAAGGTTCAAGTTCAGATTGTCAATTTAACCCTCCAACACTCGGCTGTTGTTTTATTTCTAGAGATATTTTTGGGGCCAGAAAGTGTTGACAGTGTTGGGGAGGACATCCGGCAGCTCGTGGTCTTTTTCTTTGCTTGAAATGTTACCTTATTCACAGCTTTCACATGAATTATTTACAGCTTTGAATAGTATTTTCGTTACGTTTATGAGCAACTTTTAATAGACTCATAATGCCTAAACTGAAATGTTTTATCCTTTTAAAATCACTTAAAGGTGGGGTAGGTCATTTTGGAGAAACCAGCTTGAGTGCGCTAGAATTTGAAAATACACAAAAAATCTGCCACTTCCTTACAGAGCCCCTCCTCCAACACACACGAACGCGCACATGACCAATGAGGGCACGAGATAAGTTTGTGCACAGATGGAAGGCTGACAGGCAGGTAGGCCATCCAGTTATTTTAGCCGGGCCGGCTCAGATGATTGGTTGTGCTTTTTACAGTACTACGGCTTCCACAGATGACATTTCTTTATGGATTTTTTGTCAAAGCACTTAAGATATTCATTACTATCGGGATGTTAAGAGCATTCCATGGAATATAACAAAACGTGTATCTCGAGCCGGTTTCTCAAAACGTACCTACCCCACCTTTAAAACCAAGTTCCTTAAAGTGCACCTACAGTATCATGCTATTTTTAGGCAATAGCATCGGTCTCAGATATATAAAATATATAAAAAACATGTCTATGAAGTGTTTTGCTCAAAATACCAAACAGATCACCCATTCTAGCCGTGCCTCATATCCCTGTATTTCACTTCCTGTTTCAAAAGTGCTGATTTGGGGTATAAAGCTTTAACAAAAATAAAATTGATAAAAAAAATAAAAGGAGGGCGCTGAGCTCATGCGGGAGATTCTACCGACATATACTGCCGTGATGAAACGCCATATCATGGATTATCAAGGATTATTTTGAATATAATATATTGAAACAGTATGGAGCTCAAAGGATTTCTCTATGGCCGGTTATACCACAAGGTGAGTTCCTTTTTATTTCCTGCTTCTTCACACACATGCTCTCCAGTACAGGTTAGCTCTGAGTGTTAGCGATGCTAATGTAAACACCGACCATATTACGTCCAAAACAGTCAGGCATCGTTTCTGATAGCAACGTTTCTGACTAGGGCCGTGGGTGTAAAGCCAGCCTACATTTCCGATATTACTTCACATCGGACGCAAATCTGGATCAGCTCCGTTGTAGCCCCGTTTTTAGAGATTTGGGTACGGAGGAAAAGAGAGGGTTTTATTTTCTGACGCTGCGTGAGTTCCCTGACACACATATGTATGTATAAAAGACATCACAAAGTGCATTTTGCATGATAGGTCCCCTTTAAAGATAAGTGTTTATGTATTAAACAGGTGGGGAAAATGACAGGTAAGAAAAACGATATTTTACAGGTAAATTTGTCTACATTTTGAACAAGATTTAAAAATCTTTATTCAAGTGTTAAACACAGTATAAAGGAGGAGTATCTAACTTCCTGTCTCATTAACTGGTTCATTGCCTGCACCTGTGCTTTAAGTATTTACAACAAGTGCTTCATCACTAATCTGTAACCACTGAAGTGTGATGCAGTGGAAAAAAAGCAGCTAATTTTAACTTCCCTTGTTACACCCGAACACTTTTTCACAGTACACTGAGACTTTTTGATTTACACTCCATGGTGTTTGAGGTGTTTTGTGTGTGTTTAGTGTTTCACTTCTGCAAATCTTTCCCCCCTCTGCAGAAACAACAAATCCTGTTATTGAAGTATCTCAGCTGCTTTGAGAACTCAAAACTTCTCACTTTTTAACTTGACAGGCATGATTAACTTGTGACAGGCTTAATCAGAGAGCTTAATATAACACAACAAAACTATACAAATGGCACTTAACCACATAGCTGTTTATCTTGGATACAAAATAAAGACATACAGCAAGAAAAGTACAATTACTTATGCTAGTGTGGCTGTTTGCTTACCTTTGGATCTCGGAGGAAAAGAGCCTTCTGCAGCAGGGAGTTGATGTCTCCTAAAGGAGGGTAGTGCATCAGCAGGCCCAGGCAGGTCTGGAAGTTACTAGCAATGACTGAAACACACAATAAACAATACACACGTTATAAAGATGTAGTTCTTTGACCAAGAGCTAACCTATTAATGTTTAATGATCCGTTTTGGCTACCCTTCTTGTGTCATATGTCGGCTAATGAGAAGTATATTCAACCGCAATATGAGGATTAACTTTGCAGAAGTGCGCCATATTTCTCAGAGCAAACTAGGCGAAGGGAGTCTTAAAGAGACAGGTGCTAAACAAAGGACAAATACTGGTATATTCAAACCGATAGTAATATTAAAATAATGTCTTTGACACATTATAGCATGTCGATGTTATAGAAACAAACCAAATACGATTATGAAAATGAGAGCAATAAACCTCCTTAAAGCAGAGACGATGTTTTCTGACATTAGGCCTTATCTCCCATCAAGTATGGCAGCAAAGATCTACAAGTATTCTATTCAAAGCAATATCTGATTAAATGAGGTGGAATAAATCAAATTCTTCCAGTTAAGTGTTATTTGTGAAATCACATGCTGCAAAGACAACACATTGCGTTATTGGATTATTTCAGTAATAAACGCAGCGTACGAGCGTCTCGGATGTAGAGCAGCATGGCCACAAAGATGTAGTCCACCAGGTCCAGGGTGATGCTGTCCGCAAACAGAGCGTCCCACATCACCAGCAGGTCCTGCAGCGGGAACTCCCGCCCGAAAAGCAGACGTACCCACCGGCTGTAGGAGAGACAGACAGAGCGAGAGACAGAGAAAGACAGAGAGAGAGAGACAGACAGAGAGAGAGACAGAGACAGACAGAGAGAGACAGACAGACAGAGAGAGAGACAGAGACAGACAGAGAGACAGACAGACAGAGAGACAGAGAGAGAGAGACAGAGACAGACAGAGAGAGACAGAGAGACAGACAGAGAGAGAGACAGACAGAGAGAGAGACAGAGACAGACAGAGAGACAGACAGACAGAGAGAGAGAGAGACAGAGACAGACAGACAGAGAGAGAGACAGAGAAAGACAGAGAGACAGACAGAAAGAGAGAGAGACAGAGACAGACAGAGAGAGAGACAGGGAAAGACAGAGAGAGAGACAGGGTAATGTATTTGTGTCCATCTGAGGGTCAAAGTATCAAACGAACTGAACTCCAGATACTGACATGCCGTAGATCTGCGGGGCGATCTCCAGCCGGTTGACGTGCATGTGCAGTTCAACATCGTGCTTCTTCACCAGCTGGTCCTGGATGCGGTTCACTTTGGTCACTATGGCAACAGATGGCCCCGCGTCCTGGGGCCGTGCGAACGGAATGCTGGTCAGCATCTCTTCCTTACCCTGCAGCAGGAGACCATCATGTGATTAGCTTCGCATTATATAAACAAACGTTAGCACCATCTGTGTCCATATGGCCAACTCTTACCGGATAGGTTGAAAAGCAGGAGGAGTGACAAATACAAGGTTTCTATTTAGGAGGACGTACAACTGGCTAAGTTTGAACGCATTTTATATTAAGACCAAATGTGCAAATGCTATAATTTGGATAATGGAAAATTCATTAAAGTTTCCATTAAATCAAACAACAATTTGATACTATTTATGGCCGGCATTTCACCAAAAGCCACTTACTTTATTGCAATCAGTAATTGTTTTGCTGTACAGTTTTTTTAGATTATTAGTAGGACAGTCTTTATATTATAGGGTATATGCAGGAATCCTGAAGTCAAATGTAAAACCTTTTAAGACCTTTTTTTAAGACCCTTTCCATACATTTTAAGACCTCATCGCCACTTCGAGTTTTAACCGGTTACATTGGCGACACACTTTACCTCACATTTACTATATACAGTATTGATCGTCCTTCCTCCTTGTCTTCCAACCATTTGGACGCAGACTTGCATTTCCCCAAAACGATGTTGTTTAACAACCGGCGTAAACGGACCTCCGCACGCTATCAAGCAGATGTGTGATGTCCTGTTCAGATGACGTCAAAGCCAACGGGATGCCATAAATAAACTACACAGAATCACACTACACACCTACGCAATGATTACATTCAGGCAGACTGTAGAATACAACCTCTTTGGACAATTTATATACTTATTGAAAACAAGCTACAAAATGTAATACCTTGGAAAATGCCATTTAATACTTTTTACTAGCCTTAATTTTCGCTAAATTGATTTATCAACTTTTAATACTTTTAAGACCCCGCGGACACCCTGTATTACCACTTATAATATTTCCAACAGAGTAATCAGGGTCGCACATCAAATAATGTTTACTGTTCTCTCTCCTACAGTAAAGGCATGACAGAGCTGTTAAGTCACTGCTAATGTTAACCCAACATTTCCTGTTAGTGCTGAGGCAAAACATGGATGGCTCATATTGTTGAACAGTCACAGGAAATGCATGTATTTGTAAGCACGACCACTTATTAGAACTGAGTTTGCTGAATAAGACAAACAGACAGTGAATATGTTTTAAATATTGCATGGAGTTACAGATAAAAACCAGTAGTCACAGTAATCATTTCGATACTCCAGCTTCTCTACAAGCTAAACTAAATCACTGCCCTGCTGTGATGAGGAAAACGGCTTGCAATAAGCGCAGCAGAAAATCAGATCACAGTTATGAAAACAACACGAGTATATTTGGCTGCACAGTAACTAGATACAGCAGAAGCTCCTCTGCTTTATTTCGTGTTTGTTGTAGCATCGCACTTGCCGTTGCCCTGGTAACCAAGGGTTGTTGTCACTTCAACCAGGAGTGAAATATTAAGGAATATAACTTAACGTGCCAGAATAGTATAATGTCATGTCTTTTTTCACAGTTATTATCGCGCAATAAACTTGTTATGTGTAACAAGGCAGAATACATTATTGTATTTAGAACGTCGAAAGCAGTTCTTCACACTCACCCTCCTCACTTCCCTCTCGTAGCTGGAGAACCACGGCTCTGCTGTCTCCATCAGCTGAGAGAACAAGGTACTGTAGACAGAGGTGTGTGTTAGGGCTGTGCAATTAATCCTATTTTAATCGCAATTACGATTTTGGCCTGCCACAATTACGAAAACAACATAATCGAAAAAAACGATTATTTTGCTTTGCTAGGTTGTGACAGTGCACTGCAACATATTTGATCTAATTTATTTTGGTCTAATTTATTTGTATTTATCATATTAATATATGTTTAGTAGCTTGTGGAAGTGCGCTCTAAAATATTTGTTGGTCTTGTTTATTGGTATTTATTATTTTTGATATTATTTATATTTAAATATAAATGTATCATTTATTTAATTTATTTTTGTATTGGTTCTTCAGTTGAATTATATGTTCAGGGTAATCAACAGTTCAAAAGAGACTGTTCAAATTATTATTTGTATTTGATTTAAAGTTCAATAAATGGATGTTTTCAAAGTCAATGAATAATCGTATTTAATAATCGTGATATCAATTATTGACCAACATAATCTTGATTATTGCCATAATCGAGCAGCCCTAGAGTGTGTGTGTGTGTGTGTGTGTGTGTGTGTGTGTGTGTATGTGTGTGTGTGTGTGTGTGTGTGTGTGTGTGTGGTGTGTCTGTGTGTGTGTGTGTGTGTGTGTGTGGAAAGGTGAGCGATAGATAAATAATGATGACATATTGTAAAATAAAAATAGAGACATGTGAACCAATTCCAGTTCCTTGAAAAGTAATGACATTTCTGAACATGAACACCTGTTTACATATATATATATATATATCGCAATATTGGGAGTGTACTCACTAGGCATCGTGCTCAAGATACTCTGGGTTCAGAAGACTCTTCATCTCTTCACTGTGGAAAAATAAAAATGGATCTCAAATAAATGCAGAAATATCTTTCCCTCCTGAACAAGCTGCTAAAGTAAAAGCAGGTCTAGAAAGTGTTCAAGGCCACTTAAAGGTCCCCAATTATACTGTTTTTCATCAATATATTATAGGTCTCAGTTATATACAAAACATGTCTCTGAAGTTTTAGGCTCGGAATACCAAACAGATCATTGCAATAGCCCCGTTTCAAAAGTGCTGATTGTCTATCTGTTACTTTACCTTGGCTGGTGATTGGCTAATGGTTACACAAGCCAAAAAACCGTTATGACATCATAAAGTGACCAAAATCTGATCAGCTCATTTTCAGACAGGTTTTTATATAAATGGATCAGGACAAAAAGTGAGCGAATCTTTTTTCCTGAAACGTTCAGAATCTCTTTACACAGAGGGAACACATGTTTATGTATAAAAGACATGAAAAAGTGGATTTTGCGTAATAGGTCCCCTTTAAGGGTGAAATATTGGGTTTCCCGGATGTGAGGATCTGACCTGGGGCTGGCCGTCTCGCTGGCATGCTGGAAGGCTTGGTGGTCGCAGTGCAGCACGAAGACGAGGGGGGCCAGCAGCTCGTGCATCCCCTGCAGAGAGAGAAGAAAAAGAGTAAGGCTTAGAGAGGCCGGGGGAGAGAGGAATTATGGTTCATTTGTGGTCAGTCTTTCTTTAATAGTGATGCACGAGCTTTCTAATCTGTGATGACAGCTTTAATTTAGATATCGTTAGCCACTACGCAGCCATGTGTCACTTCCAGTTTGTGAAAAGCAGATGCTGTGCTTGTCTATTCTTTCGCTGGCACCTGTTACAGAGACTGATAATGATTAGGTTACAAAGGTATTTTCTTTTGTCTCACTGGGCACTACACACACAAATAAACAGTTATGCTGAGATTAACAACACAGTTGGAAAACCCAATCAGAGACATCAAAGGATTCATTTTCAAGGACCTTTAAGAGAAAACAAAGATGTCTGACTTTTTTAATTTAATCTCCTAAAAGAGCAGTTGGGACAATGTGTCCGTCGTACCTGTTTATACAACAACTGTTCATTTTCTCTGGCGTAACAGAAGAGGATGTCCGTCAGCATGGTCCTCACATCGCCGTTCTGGAAGTAACGGATCTCCGGGAACCTGACATAAATGGAAACAGTACAGAATTAATTGTATTTTTTGTGGAGGCCGAAACGCTTTCAGGAGAAAGGTAATAAAATTAAAATAAACAAACAGAATGGTGATACTGACGTTCTCAACACGTCCTGTTTGATCATCCCCTTCAGCTCTTTGTCTTGGAAGAACCTGTTCCACAGGCTCTGGAAAGGAAAGGACAAAACAAGACATAAGTGAACAAATACTATTCTGAAATCTGGGGCCTTTGAGGAACCACTTTGATGATACAATAATTACAAAAACAACCGTTCTGTGAGTGGCTGGAAAAAGTAAGACAATAGAAGATCGATGAATTAAATAACCTGTCCAGTAACACAGTTTTTTTAATCTGTTTTCTACAACTTTCCAAAGGAATTTTTCACTTTTTGGTTGATGGAAACATAACAAACACGCTATGCTTTGGTGCATTTATTTGCCATTTGTGTGTCCAATGTCTGGTTTTGCAATTCTTCTTCTTTGAAGTCTCAAAATAAGTACTCCCCCTGGAAGCTACTTACAACATCTGAGATAGTCATTTGCATTTAGGTATTTGTGATGAATGAATATATTTAAATATTCATTAATTATTGTAAACTATCCTTTATTTACTTAAAACCTTGACTTCAGACAGTTTTTCCGTGTTTAGAAAACTTGCTGTGTATTACAAAAGATTATATTAAATATCCTACAAACTTCCCTGGATGGCCAGTCATAGCTCTTGTTTACTCTCTGTTATTATCAGTGTGGTTTTCTGAGTGCAAGTCACAAAATTACCATCAAGTGGTAAAGCGGCAGGCAGATTAATTGGGAGATGAGAAAAACTAAATTAGTTTTTCAATGTTTATAAACACTTTATTAATAGCCTAACCCAAAATCTGTTAAATGGCTTCATAATTACTTCTTAAAAAAATCTGTTAATGAATCAACACGGATAAATCACTGACATGGTCTATAATTATTGCAACACAGTCTGAAGTGAATGCAGTGGGGTCACATTTCGCATGCAAATATGAAGCAACTGACCCCCTCATCCTGGGACAGCGGGTTGTTGACCACCAGGTCCTGGCCGGCAGCCTTCCGAGGGTTAGTGATGTGCTGCAACAACAACAAAAGCAAGAAATACCAACAAAAATGTCAACAACAGACATCAGAACAGTGACATGTTTATTCCTAGAAGAGCTGCACTGCTACACATGCATGACCGTACTGTGACCTGGGTTTCCTCAGCTATAGCAGCACATACTTACTACGTTTTATTTTGTTTTAAATGTTGGTGGTTGCATAAACAGTGAGTAGTTCCTCAAAATAATGAATAATAATACAAATGTTATGGATTGGTGCCCTGCTATCTGTGTTCATATACGTGTAAAACACAAAATCAATATGGCCTGCCATCCATAATATAATATATATGATGTGTGTCCCTTAGGTCAGGAAAGAACGAGGTCAATAAACTATTAAATACACTGCGCCAGCTTCCTGGAATAATGGACTGAAAGACCTGAAACTGTCAGAGCTGATCGTATAGAGAAATATAAAGATCCATCACTCTTGGTCAATGTGATTGCTCCTAAATCTTTTACTGACATCATTAAAGCTACACCTGTTTGTATGCATTATGTCAGTTATTTTGCATGGCTTATTAACTGGATATTGTGCTCATGCATTTGTAGAGTGTTGTATTTGTCTGTTTGTATAGGCTGTGATGATGGATGTAACAATGCTTATGCTTCATTCTTGTCCAGGCCACTCGTGATAGAGATTTTGTTTCCAATTGGGCTATTACTAGGTTAAAATAAGACACCATTAATAGAATCAACAATTAATTTAGACTACCATATGTGGAAAACAGAATAAAGGATCATGTAGTAGGTCGAAATTCTCCTGCAACTGTATGTATTTTCCCATGATGCTGAGGGAAACGGCCACACAGAGGCACTCTCACCGTCTCTTTGATCTTCTCATACCGGGCCCGGAGCTCATTGGTCTTGTTGATCCACTGACCCTTATCTTCGGGAAGAGCCTCCAGGTACAACTGCACACAGGTTAGCGCACTCTTAACATTCATATGACACTTTCCGAACAAAACTATAGGCTGCTGTTTCCAACAAAGAACTCTGCAGGCTGCCAGAACTGCCAATTGCAGGGAAATTGCCAAAGCCACTTTACATCAAACTGAAAAAGCACTGCTTGATCCACTCCGCAGTTACCTTCCAGCACACGCTCCGAAAGCGGCTGCTTCTCAGTCGGCCGTTGATGCCCGCCTGCCGGATCCTGGCCAGGTAATTACTGTTGAGGAACAAGTCGTCCCATTCTTTCCTGGGCAGGGGAGGGGGGGAGGCAGAGGACAAGGAGATTTATGAGCTTCTCAACCCAAATTGGGCTCGGTATTCCATCTAATGTGTCATCCAGCACTAAAGCAGGAGGCTGGCGCAGTGAGCCGGGCCAAGAGTTGATGCTACACACCCACACACACCGGAAAGTACTGGAAACACTCACCTGTATGAGAGGAAGGTTGACTGAGACTGTGAGTAAGTGCTGCTGTCAAGAGAGCCTCCTGTTAAAGCGCACACACAGCGACCACAAGGGGGGGATGTTACCAAGTGCAAAGGAGTGGAAATAAATCATTTTTAAAGATTTATAAACAAAAACATAACCTTTGACAGCTAACATAACAAGGAACACGCCCGTTTACTCTTTCCAAATGACCCATCAGTCATTTTCTTTCTGTAGCGTTTCAGAAAAGAGCCAGAAGCAGGGCAAGTGACGACAATGAGCAACGCTCCATCCTCCTATTCCTCTTCATTGGCGGTATTAAGTCTAATTTGGCCTGCAGGTGAACATGCATTCAAGTCGGAGAGCTGTCTATCAACATTAGTTACAGGAGTGGATCGTTCCACAGGGACACTCAGCATGAATATTCATCAGTTCCACAACATGCCAGCCCACAACATCCCCTCTCTCTCGCACGTAAACATAAAAACACAAAAACACCCTCAGCCCCAGGGGCGTCTCCTGCCACGTCCGTGACTCACACTTCACTGTGGAGTCAAATGTATATTTGATCATCTCCAATCTACTGAAGAACTTCAAGTTTCACTTTATGTCGTGTTTTCCGGTCAGAGCCTTAGAATGCGTGCTTGCTTTGAGTGAAAGAGCTGCTTTTATGAAGGGATTTAACAAAACATCTAGTGCCTGGTTCTTTAAAATGTTAACACAAATCCATTAGAGAGGAATTAGGAACTGTATCAGCACAACAAACAAACAAAGGTTTGAAATGAAGAAATGACAACAGAATTACATATTTCTTTCCAAGATTGTGTTGGAGGGTTTAAATCCTAATCTAGTTGTGTATCAGGGTTGACGTACTGCTGCGGTTCTTGTTGAAGTTATTGAGCGGGTCGAAGCCCGTCTCCTGCTGCTCGTCGGTCTGGAGCGGGTGGCGGGTCTCGAAATTGGGGTGCTGCATGACCGCAACCCAGCCGGACCTGGAGAAAGTGAGACCAGAGCGGAAGCAGGAAAAAGGAAGTAAGACACAAATCAGCTAGAAGATCAGCTGGACCAACGTGGGTTATGTAAAGCAACTCAGAGAACAATCCAAAAACTCTAAATGTCAAAGCACAATAGCTCTACTGATAAGGAAACTGACCTTTGATCAGGGCTTGCAATTGATCTGAAGCTTAAGCTTTCCTGAGCAGCAGTGTTATTCTGACCCTGACCTTTGACCCCCTTGTAGGAAGGGTTGCATGTCAAATCCATCCACATCAATCTCTGCACTGCATTTCCCCTTCCATTAACATTAACACGGTTGAACGGCTTAAACTCAGGACTTACTGTCACAGCCTCGTGATTCTCCTCCGCCAAGACTCTGAAGAAAAGGGTGTCTCTGCAGAAAAAAAGAAACAATAAAATGTAAGCACTTCAGCTCAATGGCAAAGAAATAAAGAAAAATCATGAATTGTGTGAAGAAAAAAAGAAAAAAATGACGTGGTGTGTATCGCATTTATATATCCTGAAATAGTAACTTAATTTGCATAAAGCTTTGACAACTACTTAACTCTAACCCAAAGTTATGACGTTTACATTTGATATAAAGACATGACATAAATCTCCGTCAATGCTTTTCTCGGAGTACAACTAATAACTTTGGTCACACTATTTTCTGCATTGTGAGGATCAAACTGTGTATTTACCTTTAAAGAGTGACAGTGTTTGCCGTCAGTGGCTTAAATGAACATGAAGCACTTGAGCTGCCTCGCCATGCTCACTGCGATATATTAAACATAAGCGGTAATGCTAATGAGGTAATTAAGTAGGTAAATGAATACATTGATTATATATTTGAATGACAACAGACTGTTCTCCACAATACACGTAAACAATATCAACTCTGAATGAGGAGTTATTAAAGAACTACAGTTTCAAAAAAGAACAAACAATAACAATAAAAACATTTTCTATTTATATTGATTGGAGCTGTCGATTAGTCATAAAACAGCTAATAGGCTAACGTATGGCTATTTAGCTTGAAAGTGCTTCATACTAACTGCCTAAATGTCATTATATACACATATGACGTGTTACTAAACTGACTATTTGAAGCAAATAAGACGTATGTTTCCTTGGGCTTCGTGAAATCATAATGGCAGTTTCTCACTATTGTCTGAGTTATTATTAGACACTTATTATTGCATCAGACAAACTGCACATTGTGAGGGAGATGGGGTAAATGTGACAATTTATAAAGATTAGGTTACAGCTCAAATTAGGGCTGCTCGATTATGAAAATCAGGATTATTTTTGGTCAATAATTGCTATCACGATTATTAAAAACGATTATCCATTTACTTTGAAAACATACATTTTTAGAAAAAAAAATGTTGAACTGTATGTTTTTAACAGTTGATTACCCTGAACTTTAAGTATAATTCAACTGAAAACCCAATAAAAAAAAAAAATACTTTTTTTTTTTAAAATTAAAAATAATAATCGTTTTATTTCGATTGCGTTGTTTTCGTAATCGTTGCAAGCCGAAATCTTAATCAAGATTAAAATACAATTAATTGCACAGCCCTAGCTCAAATCGTGCATTCGGCAACAGAAAAAGCAGGATATCTTTAAAACTCAATAATCAATAGTAATGGTTTTTAGCAGATAAACACAGCCAACTCGTCTTTGCCAACAATCCCAGCTACGAGAAAAGTGTAACTTTCTCTGAGATATCTCTATCTAGGTTAAACAATACTTCCCCGGTTCTTTATCCGGCTTGGGATTATTCCACGTTTATGAATACGGTTAGCCTAATACACAGGCCTTCGGAATAGCACGCTTTCCGCAGAGCATTATGTTTCCTGCCGCTTTATTAATTGTGGAAATAACACAACAAAGGCATCTCTTAAACCTATTAACCATGTGAAAGGGACACCGCTGGATCAATCAGCTATGCATGCCATCAAAATAGAAATAATTGTATATGCATAATGTATGTGTCTGTTTGCTTAGGAAACATCTGTTCTCCTCAAAGAATAATGCTCTCCTTAAATCAAAGGGGTTTTTCTCCCTTCCCTCATAATAAGGATATTATCCCATTAAATAATCAGAACTAATCCACAACTATAGGGAAAGACAGAGGAGTGGTGTGAATATGTATCTACAATAATAGCCATTTGTCTTAGTTCTCCTTTGAAAGGTTGCCATTAAAGATGTATCAAACTCTCCTGAGTAATTACAAATATAACAATAGTCACCTTAAATTTGCATTGCAGAGTGTCTAAAAATATGTTCAGGTACACTTTCCCTACAGGCCCGCAAACACATCCTGCACTTTGTCCCTTTTTCTAAAAATAAAGTCAATTTAAAGTTTCTAAAGAGGACTTCTCACATCTCTCACTGCTCCCTGTGCTTTGAGGATGTCTTGTGTGTAAGCCTCTGTAAGCGAATGAAAGATGATGTGGTTAAAAGACCAGAGGCCTTGCAGTGTTAGCGATTCTTGCCTGAAGCTAGTTTTCTCCTAGCCTCCTGCTGCCTTCATTACTTCTTCCCAGAGTCGACCGTAAAACGACATCCTAACTTTACTACATGATAATCAAGGCAAATTAGCTTCTGCATAATTTAATCCACAGCACCTGGAGACAGCTCAATAATTCAAATCACGAATCTTTCATGAAATAATCAAATCAATACATAATGAAATGCATAAATAAATCAACAGACAAATAACACTGCGTCCATCTGTTCGGAAGGTAGAAGATGCATTCCTGGGATTTCCAACAACAGCCCGTGAAGCTCAATCCAAACTGTAGCCATCCCATTACCATGTTACGAACATTAACATTTCTCAACCACTACTTTCTCCAAGTTGTTGCCTCAAGCATGATTTCAAAAAGGAGCAAAGCTGATGTTTCGGGTTGTGTAAATCAAATTGGAAGCACATCAAAGTCAAGTCAACCGCCAGTCAGCCTCCACTTCCTTCAATGAATCGCAATCGGTGCTACAAAACACATCACTTCCCTTTATACTTTAACAAACATTTAATCTCAAAGCAACCTAAAGAGGACGTATATGCTATTTTGAGGTTCATATTTGTATTTTGTGTGTCTACTATGACATGTTTATAATGTTCAAAAAGCTCTTTATTTTTCTCATATTGCCTGTACTGCAGCACCTCTTTTCACCCTCCGTCTGAAACCAGAGCCCAGTCTGCTCTGATTGGTTAGCTGGCCGGCTCTGTTGTGATTGGTCAACCGCCCCTTAGCCTATCACGTACTATGTGTTGGAGCGCTAGCCAATAGAAGTGTGATTGTCACTATCTAAGCAAGGTAAACAAAGGTCCCATTTCAGGCAGTTTCCCAAACACTCCAGGGTAAACTACAAAAAGCATAAAAGAGCCTCTTAAAAATGTCACTGTCACTGAAGGCTAACACTTCACTCTTGTTTTCCCACTCGATCAAAACCGAGGCAAGCATTACATTCTTGCGGGTCATGAGATTATTTTACAGCAAGAGGGTTCATTTTAACACAGCAGAAAAGATGACAAATTAACTTCAGCTGTTCTTCAAATTGCAGTGACAGGTTTTGTTTGTGAAACTACTGGATGACCAGATGCTAGAGATCTCACGTTGAAGTGGACAATAAGAAAAGTTTCAGTTTGCTCTGAGCTCATTGACCTAAAAGGCAGAGAGGCTAAACAAGTCTGAAACTAAACCCAGATTAAACTGTATTAAATGTGTTGCTAGAGGGTCTACATATCTTTGTATAGACATCTGACTAAATGACTGTACACATGTTGTTCTTCTGAAATAAACAGCTCTGTAAAATATTCTGATGAAGATGATTATTAAATTGTATTAGATGAACAAGTCCACTAGTCTATTATTCCATTAACCTCTCTCAGAGCTGCTGATGTGAAGTAGATTCAGAAAGAGAATCAGAACATGGGCTCTTCAGGATGAATATTCAAACATGATTTTGTGGGTCGGTTCCTGGCAGTTACAGTCGGAGCGGCAGATTGCAGTTTAGTCAAAGTGAAACACCCCGGCTAAACAAACTCACATGCCTCTACTTCTGCACACAGAAAGAGCCCAGGATCCTTCACAGTCACATGCTCCACCAGAGGCTGGGAAACATGCTTGAGACCTCAACCATGGCAAAATGCCGTGAACTTGCTGGGTCTTAACTGATCTGATTATCAAATACATGACAAGATATTAAACCTGACAAATATATGTCGGTGTACAAAAACTAGAGTACAGATTCTAAACTGGGGGTCTATATCTCCACAAGATAAATCTAAGGGGTTGTTACATGATCAACAAGACGTTTTCAGACTAATCTTCGACTTTGCTTTGATAATTTTGCCATTAAGGCAAAAGGATATTTGATAAAAGCTGCTCACACATCACAAACGTATGCAACAGTGCTGAGTGATCATGAGTACACATTGTTAGTAGGTCAAAAGCCAAGAAGGTAGGGAATAATTGCAACAGCGGAAAACCTGCAGTGCAAGAATGAAACGCTTAAAACATGCAGAAACACTTAGAAACTTGTAGGAACAGCAGTGGAGTTCAGAAAGATTAAAAACAGTTCCCCATATGTATTAAATGTTATCTATTGTCTCCATACACAACAGACAGCTACTGTGCAGTCTGGGACGGTCACTAAAACACCTGATTTGTGCCTTTGTCAAAGTGTTTTTCCTCTGTCCTGCAGACATTCAGCCTATACTCTCCCACGCATGTGCTGAACTGGTTATTGGAAGTGTGAAGACTGTGAAACTGCATTAAACCGTGCATGCAGGCAGGCAGACTGTTACAAAACCTCTGCACTACCCTGAACACATCACTAAATCTGTCAGGCAGGGTGGGCCAGCCCGAGGAAAAAAGGCACAACACACTAAACCTGTCAAGAAGAGGAACCGTTTAGACGCAAATTATCCAAAGCCAGCACAGACAATGTATATATAATTTGACGTAAAACACAAGCAGTGTCCGTCTTCTGTCATGCACACCGATGGTGATATCAACCATATGGATTATCGATGCCAGCAGCAGGGCAAAACGCCAAACAACAGCTAAGCTAGCTCATATCCTGCGTCGGCTAACAATGCTAAATGTAGGCTAAACTAGGTAAATAAACATACAATTGCAAGCTGTAGTTATCAATGTTGACGGGACTGTGACTACAAATGTCAGGAAGCAGGTAATGTAAAGTGACTTTAGCAAGTTGTGACCGAGCCGATGCACGGGCCTGTCTGCACTTCCGACACCAAGCTGCAGCAAGTCACGAGACACACTCGTAACATACACACACCAACAGGCGGATATAAGTGTCAATAACGTCACATAGCTATCCATAACCCGCTGAGGGCTGACAGTATGTCTCAGGTACCTGTAGGGATCACGCAGGTCTCCTCATCCTGTGTCTCTCGGACTGTCTGCTGATTTGTAAACAGTCGCGGGTCAGGCGGATGTGCTGAAGATCAGCTGACTGATCACGTGAACACAGAGTGGAGGCTTGCTTTGCAGCGTCTCAAATGTAGGATACTTGGCTGCAAGGCTGCAGTAAGTGTAAGAAATGCTGAGACCTTTACATAAATTAAAACAATCTTCTTAATAAGTCATTTTCAAACATGACTAAAAATAGCTGCCTAATCTTGTTTTAAGGCATTACACTGAGTTGTATGTAATCTTTTTAGCCTTTGTCTACTACAAAGACTAAAAGGATAAAGGGTTTGCATTTATATAGCAGTTTTGCGTACAAGTCAGCATTAACTCATTCATTCAGAATGAGTTAATGTCACACAAGGGGCCGCCTGCTAAGGGAGACTATCCTTCACACACACTCACAAACCATTGATCATGCCAGGAGTAACTTGGGGTAAGTATCTTGCTCAAGAATACATGTAGATATTGGAATCAAACCTATCAAACCCATTTATCTATGAAACATAGTGTCACAGGGAACTCCTTATTTACAGTATACAGCTATGTTATGTCGAAACGGTCTGAAACATAAAGGAAATGAGGTGAGCATATTTCAGATAATTGACACCCCCTTATTAAAGCCCTACACTTTCCCTTTACACTGTCCCCTCACAACTACATGTAAATCCTACCACATGTTTAAAAAATGTTTGAGGTTACTACGAGGATGTTCAACACTGTTAAGTTAATTTAATTACCCATTATCAGCACACTGTGGCTTTCAGGTTCCCATTTGTATCAATAATAAATTAGAATATTCCAGTTTTTAACAAAAACATTCATAGTTTGTGTCAATAAGAAAGAAAGTACGAAAGAGAGATGCATGCAAAGTTGTGTTACACTAACCAGAAGAAATACAACAGATTGACGGGGGCTCTACAACATTAGGGTTAATTAAGACAGTTTTATGGAGACTTAATTGCAAAAAATTGAGGTCAGACAAGTCAATTTGATCTGCAAAGTGCTTGCATCAAACATCTTCATCACAAAGTGTTGCCCCAAGGATAAACTAGGACACAAAAACCAAGCAGCAGGATGGTCATGCAACAGAAAAAAAGCAGGTGTCCATGTTAAGAAAAAAAAACGACATTAAAAAGCAATATTGAGTCAAATGTGTGTGTGTTTGTGTGTTAGTGGGGGTTACCAGAAAGCAGACATAATGACCATCATTGTCATTACCATCATCATCATCACAGGCATGGCATTTCAAGAGCGCCATTATCATCGTTATTATAGCTAATATTGCTGATGATGAGGCTTTCATGGCCCCTTACTGGCCCAGACTTAGGTATCGTCATGGAAACAGATGACAGAAAAAGGGCATAGCTTTATTGAATTACTCTATGAAGATATTCTGACGAAATGGGGCTTGAATGTTGCACCATCAGAGAATAGTGGGGGAGCTGCACTGTGAAGAGTCCTGAGGAGAGACAGATGAGAGTCAGGGGGAGAAAGAGAGACGGAAACACGGATAGAAATAGCAACTTCGGAAAATAAAAGAATAAAAAGAGACAGATAGGAAACACTGTCAGCACTGAGGGGCATGTGGTTCCAGAGACACAGATCCACTGGTACAGAGAGAGAGATCAGCACTGTAGAATATTGTCCCATGGATGGAAACAATGACAGCAATTCACCAACAAAGACGTAGTTATATAACAGAAATTCATCATCCCTAACTGGTACAGACTGTGGGCATCACAACGATTGATTTAATCTTTAATGGGTCTTTTATAGCTGGCTTCTGCTTGTCCTAAAATAGCAGTCTGATAAATGAGCTTCATCTCTTATTTACTTGTTTCGGAAAGTCTTTCCAGCATGATAAATCTCAAACGTCCCCAAATCCAATTCTATACATTGCTTACACACTAAATATAGTCAAAGTGCAAATATCATCTGCTGATATTGTGCGACTTAGGAGGAAAATAACCAGAGAGAAAGAATAGCACAATGCCCTCCAAGCTATCACAGCCTCTGTGTTCCTGCAGATTTTGTCACATGAGGTTCAAATCAGAAATTCCTGGTAATAAACATGATGTCCCTGTTTGTGTGGGTGATGTTAAATAAATAAAATAAAGGGATTTCAAATGTAACATTTTACTTCCATCTCAAAACACATTTATTTTATTTATCGCAGTGAATTTGTTTGTGAAAAAAATTGTTAAATCTGAATTTCACAATACACATAGTCAAATTATGAATACGTCCTTATGTTTACAAATGATAGAGCTGATATTTGATGTACACACTGCACGTCTTCAGTCTCACACTTCTAGTCCACACCCGTTCTTTCATGAAGAAATATTGAACATTGTGCACTCCATGCACGCTTTGTGTCTCTGCTGTAAATAAGAACAATATGACAACAGCAAGATGTGTAGCTATTTTGGGAGAGAGATTTTTAGGTTCATGCACAAACAGAAACATTGTATGTAAACTATGATGTGTTCAGGAGCGAATTAGATCTTTACCAACTCTGTGATCAAAGTTGAACAAAAAAGGAGCGATTTGCAGATTAGATGAATCAGTAACTCATTCGGTCACCTTTGTTAAACACTGCAGTAACAATGCAGATTATTTCCTGTCATTTATGAAAGGATTAAATGCTATATATCATTTACAAATTCAACTAACATAATCAGGATTTATTACAATGTGACAAATAACGACAATGTAAGATATAACAGTGTGATTCCTGAAGGAAACCGTTTTAAATGATTTACGAATATCTGAACACAAATCACAATTTAAAAAAACAAAGTATACAGTATATTTAAAAAAACAGATTGGCAGTGCCACTTTCTACAAGGCATTTCTGGCTTGAACATTTCACCGACCAAATATAATAATAACCCTTTTTTACACAGTGATATGTTATCTGAGGCTCTTTTATCAGGTCCCATTCATCCAGACACAACACAGAACCAATGTGTTGAGACATCATCTGCTCATATAGTCACAGTTATGTTCTGTCTCAATTGCAGAAGGGGTCAAATCACATGAGAGCTTTCTATTGTAGCAGTAGCATCCTTAAGGCTGTGGTAGAAAGTCAGCTTTTAGTCTTTCCACAGGATTTAAGGACAACCAATAGCAAATAGCAAAAGTCTAATGGAATTAGTTTATATGTAACTCTCGTGCTCTTCCTTCATAGTGCTAATGGTTTGAGTGCCGACATCAGAATCTTTAAAAACATCAATCCCGTTTGCTTCATTTCTCCCCGTTTGATTCTCCTCCTGCTCCTCCTTTAATTCTGCCTCAGTCCTTCCATCACCTTCCTCCTCTTGTTCCTCTGCAGGTATGACTGTCTGGGAGAGGTTTGGGTCCGTGCAGCCGTGTTTTTGACTCAGTTTTGGGCTCTGGGTGTGGTGTGGATGCCGGTCATGGTCCTGGCTGTTGAAGAACTTTTGGATGGTGTGTTTGGGCAGGCCCAGCTGAGCGGACAGGGTGTGTATGGCCTCTTCGTCTGGGTCGAGTCCCACGTCTTGAATGAAGCTCTGCAGGATTCCCAGAGCCTCATGGGACACTTTTAACCCCTGGACCTCACTATCTGCCTCTAAACACACCCCAGCCTCACCTCGCTCCTCATCCTTCACGCTGGGCCACTTCATAGTGAGCTTCACCTCCTCTTTGCACTCTCTAATGATGTCACCAATCCCTTCCTCCCCAACACTCCCATTCCTCACCTGCTCCTTACTTTCCATACCCTTCTCCCTCACCCTCCCAGTACAAACCCCAGTCCCCCTCCGAAAATGCTCATCTCGCCCTCAACCCAGTCCTTACTGTCTCCCCTCTCTCCATTACTGCTGCTGCCCTGCCCTGCAGATGCACCCTCACGTGCCCCCAGTTGTTCCCCGCCTCACACTCTGCTGGTGATGCAGCACATGGTTTGCCGTGGAGACAGGTGAGGTCCTGCCTCTGGCTGCAGTGGCTGATGGGGCTGGAGATGGTGCTGCTGCGGCAGAGGAGAGTGGCGTTGGTACTGACAAGAGAAGAAGAGAAAATATGAGGAAAATGCTGTATTTGTTCTTTTTGGATTTCATATTTGTATTAACAACAACTTATTACTTCTGGCAGGGATGTCATGTTTGTCTGTAAGCAAAATAAAGGAAAAACTACTGACGCAATGTTTATGAAACTGTGTATGAAATATTCTCTTAAATCTGTATGTACTTTTTAGCGTGTGTCTGTATGTGTGGGCGAGGGCAGCAGACACAAAGTCTTCTTGTCTTGTTATAAATACAATGGTACTCAATGTAACATAGTGTACTATAGATATACATAGGAATTTTGTATGTTAAATATAAGGTCTGTGTTTTAATCAAGCCATCTATCCATGCAGAAGCTATGTGAAAGATTAGTAACTAATAAGCTTTACAGATCATTGCCTAACGTGGCAATCATTTTTTTCTTTTTTGCACATATTTGGCATTTAGCTGCCATTACTGCTCCTTTTACTTTGAACACCCCAGAGATCTATTGGCATTTAATGTGACACATTATTTTCAACATTTCTGGAAGAATAATATTACAGTACTAATAAATCACTTCTCCTATACAGATAGAAGTGCCTCCAAGAACAAAGTCAGATCACCTCTTGATAAGAGCAGGCTCCCCTACAAAAAAAGGACGATTTAGAAAGTTATTAACCAGTTATTTATCTGCTAGCCTTGCTGCTTGTGTTTCCATTTTAATTTATTCCTAACAGCTGTTTCTATATCTGACAAGCGAGATATACCGAGTCAGAGTGTGTAGAGCAGCGTGTGTGTGTGTTGTGATGCTGTGTTTATCTTGTCTCTGCTCTCTCACCAGTGTGCTGTCGTTGCTGAGCAGTGTCAGCCTGTCAGAGTGCTGCTGAGCCGTGCTGCTGCTCTCCTGCTCGTAGATGGTGTCTCGTTCGGTCTGCGACAGGCTGAGGAACCGGCGGATCATGCACAGGTTCTCCCACAGGGTCCGGTTATCTGGGTTGGGATCCTCTTTCCAACGCAGCAGCTCACACAGCCAGCCCTACAGGAGGAACACTCACACTTATTTAAAAGCACTATGCAAACATTTAATAAATGATCTCAAACATTCTAGTTGTATGCAGATTTAGGGGCCTGACAGGTCAATAGATAGACCGGGCATCTACAGTATGTCTGGAGAAGTGTATGGGTACAGATTACTTCCTTTAAATGGAGCTTCTACTTGATTGTAAAGACATTTTCTTCTCAAGGTAAGCTAAGCTATAACCATGCAACACACCTTTAAGCACTGCACGCAAAGGCCTTAATACGTTCATCTGCAAATTAGCAAGTATAAAAAACAGGAACATATTGGGGGACTATAATATAAACAAAGCCAAATTATTACTTATTAAGCATTTTTATTATTTTTTACTTTATGCCTTTTTTCGTCAGTATTTGTTATACACTCTATGTGTATATTTAACCTCTTCAAATAATGCATGGACACGTTTTGTATTTTATTGTATGTATGTCAACATACTTGTCGTGTAATTTTGATCGTGGCCGGGTCACTATTGAACATTATTTTAACTAATTTGGTTTATAATTTGAGAGGAAATCTACATTAAAAACAACTCTAGGTCAGAACAATCTGTGGGGTGATTGGTTTGGAGCAGGAGTTCAAACAAAGCACAAATATAATTCAGTTTAAAAGGACTTTTTTGGAAAACTATGAGAATGAAGAAAGGTGATTGAAGATGAGAAATTATTGTAAATGTATGTATAAATGTAAATATGTAAGTAGGGATAACTTGCAGAAATGATTAACCAATCATTGATCAGCAGTAAGTAAGGGGTGGGAATTAATAAGCATTTGCTTCCTCCTGCTCCCTTTCGGACATATGATTTATTATTATGAATATATTTTTTGAATATATAAATATTATTATGAATATTTTGTTGAATATATAAATATGATTATGAATAGTGATAAATACTGTATTTTAACAATATGGTATTCTGTTTTTCACATTTGTTTTTTTTATCTGTTCGAAACAAAGATGGAAATGAAATTAAATCTATTTTAAAGTCACAGCATTCTTCTTTTTCATTTACCCTCACATCCATTTTGTGACTAATCAGAATTTAAGAAGATACAAGTAGTAATAACTGCAAAGTTAAGGTCTAGTTTCAACCTTTCCCTGGTCTATAAACTATAAATTCACAATAATTGATTAAAAAAAGGGGTTATGTTGAAAAGCAAAGCCAAAAGATGATGGAGAGATTTTCCTATTAACTCAAGTTGTTTTCTGCATCACGACAGAAAGGAAGAAACTTGTGAGTGGCAGATTGAGTAACAAAAAGCCAAGCTAGTTTCAAATTCATGAACTGGAACATGATTACATTTGCAAGCAAGCTAAAAAGCACACACACACACACAGATTCACAAACCCACACACACACCAGCACGCGGTCACACACCTACACACACACTCACACCTGGCTGTTGCCCAAGTCTAGCACACAATGCCATCCAGATGCACAGTGCAGATAGAACAGAGAGATCCAGCATGGTTCTGCGTGCCAAACACTCGGGTAATACAGAGAGAAAGGGAGCGGGAGAGAGAGAGAGAAAGAGGACATAGAGAAAGTGAAGTAAAAAGGGAGGCCAGCGAAGAGATGGGAAAAAAACCTCAGGGGTTTTGGACCACCTGTCTGTACTGGCTGACCGCTGAACGACCTCTAAACCGCTTCATGATGAGTACAGAGAAGGGAGAGAGAAGGAAAGTCAGAGAGAAAGACAGAAAGAAAGAAAAAAAAAGAAAGGAAGGAAGGAAAATGAAAACTGGAGACATACACGAGAGGAGGAGAAAATGAGACAGCTGAAATCCCCCCATTCCATGAAGGGAAATTATCCTCAAAACAAAAGGCAATAACAAGCTTATGGGGCCGCCATAAAAATGAGAACAATAAAAATGTGAATCAGGCCTGTGTGTGTGTGTATGCGTATTAGTGCATTTGTTTGCCAGGGTGTATGTGTGTGTTTTTGGGATTGCTTGCACATGCTCGTTCAGTGTGTCTATGTGCAGAAATAAGTGGTGTGTACGTATGTGTGTGTGCACGGGTTTTTGTAGTGCGACAATTAAAGCGATAATTTAGGACAAAATAGCAGCCTGATGCACCGATGATAGTCCTCTGCAGAGTACAGCTGCTAGGTTGATTATCTGGGTTTCTACACACACTAGTTATCCCAGCTTTAAATGAGAAGATGGATTCATCGCATCATGGAAGCTGCATTTGAACAATCAAGCAGTGCAAACTATTGGATGCAATATGTGTGTGTTAAAGATCAGACACCAGAAGTACCTGACTCTTGGAGACGGAAACTTTTGCAAACAGAGCCTGAGACACCTTGGCTCTCTTCATCTCGTGCTGAATGTCCTCGTAGATAGAAGCGCTCACATTGAGTACACAGCTGTCTGTCCTCAACCCTCTGTCTCCTAAAACTGGGGACAGTCTCGCCTAAGAAGAGATACACAAGAGGACACAAAGACAAGTTAGTAAGCTTTAGCGGCATTTGCTGCGATGTGAAATAATCCAATACCGAGCTAAGACACACACACTTTTAAAGGAGGTACTGTCAACCCAGTGACTTCCAGTTGGCCATGTATGTACTACCAAATGATGGATTGTATTAGCTTTTTGGTAAGCTAGTTAACGAAATGTGCTCAGGAATTCACCTCAATAAAAAATTTCAAATTAAAATGTGTAATTTCCAAATCCAATAACATCCTTTTATCAGCAAGCCAATCACGTACAGAGGGTACAGACTATAAAGTGTTTTGCCACTGTTCGCTATAGCTACCTAACGTTTCTTCGGATCCAGTGAAAGATGCCAAATAGATTGTATTTTTGGGATATGGCCCTTTTTCAGGAAAACCTCCAAACCGTGTGGTGAGGAAATATAAACTTGAATACATTATATTTGTATATTTTAAACATTCATGATGGCAGGCAGTGAGGGGGGAGGGTTAGCAGAATATTTATGTTTATCATTACAGCTGAGAGGAACAACACAGATTTTCATTATTTTTCTCTTAAATTAAAAAAGTATTGTTTCGTATTTACTTTATCAGAAGTGGGTTTTGACTAGGAAATGGGAAGCCAGTGAGGGATGCTGTCCTTTAACAAACCCTAGGGGGTGTGCTCTGGGTGGAAAACATGAACAAATGCACACGATGTTCAGTGGAAATGTAGCTCCTCCCTGGCAGGAGAAGCAGCTGGCAACTTCATGTATATATGCATGCCCCTCTCCAGGTTCTGAGGTGGAGCCGCAGCGTAGAGCACAGCAGCAGAACATATCAGAATGGAAATATAAGCTATGAGGCAGGATTCATTAAAAACATGGCTAGAGAGGAAGCTGGTCGGGTCAGACTAACCTACTGCCACAACACGGTTCATACAGTACAACCTTTCCAGCACTACAATTTGGAAAAATGTAGGGACATAAGAAGAAAAAAACCGGCATCCTTTTTGTCATTAAGGCATCTGTTAGCAGGCAACTCTTATCTATTTTCGCAATATGTGATGTACAGTATGTATGTCAGGGGTCTGTGACATTCACAACTTCAACAACGACTCCCTGATATGATGATTTAGATTTCCTGTTGACTATGACCTTTACCTGTCTTTGGTAAATTAAGATTCATCCCTACAGTACATTTGAATTGTCTAGCACTCTTTGTCTTTTATTTCCACTTCCCTATTCAGTTCAAACATTTCACAGCAGCTTTGTGACACTGATTTCCTGTCTGCAGACTGACCTGTGTGGATCTCGGTGGCGTGTTATTGCAGCCTGGGATGAATCCAGTCAAGGTTCTGTCTTTCTCCTCCAGGTAGATGCGATCCCTCTCAGCCTCGTGCACCTGCAGGAAGCTGTACATGGCCCGCAGATTGACCAGCAGAGACTGGGAGGCGTGGTTAGGGTCCTCCTCTTTCCGCAAAATCTCCGACAGCAGACCCTGGTAAAGACACACAAACACACAAGTTACTCATTGATTGGTATTGGGGAAATAATACACAATAAATTATAAATTCACATGTCAAATGCATTCAGGCATATTGATGTAAATCAGATTACTATTCAAATAAATGGATAGTTGGTGTAAAAAGTAACCATCTAAATGATCTTGAGGCTGTTGTTTATTCCTTTTTTGTGCATCAAATAAAAAACACTTGAAATCAATGTTTAAGATTTTAGGAAAATATAGAACTGCCTATATGTTTCATGTGGTGGCTAACACAACGTTTCTCATATGCCTCAAGGATTTTTTTGAAAAGCTCCTTATATCCATATTTGGATCTCATTCAAAGAGGCACCTTATCAAGTTCCTGCGGTTTAGTGTTTCACAGCTATATATGATACAGAGCCAGTTCCCCATGTCAGTCCTAAGCACGCCACTCGCCTGTAGAGCTTGTGCAACTCTGGGTGTATCTGTGTATGCAGGAAAGCGTTTAAACATGCTGATTGTTGGGCTTCCGTCCTGACAAGAAATCAGATTTCACGTTGGCAGTGAAATGGAAAGCAAGGAAAGAGGTTTTTTATTCAAATCATGGATCATCTTTGGATCCACCCAGCAAACCCCTCCCTCCAAATAGACGGCGGCTTTAAGGTGAATCGCCAAATGACAAATGTTCCCATCACTTCTATATGGCATCTTGGCATCATGCCCAACTTGTATGGCTGGCACCGGAGCACCTTGGACTTGGCAGTGGGGAAACATGGGGGTGGATAATAACTAGCTCTGCTTATTGTGATGGAAATGATAATGACGGTAATAATAATAATAACAATGGGCTTAGCCTGTCCTCTGAGCCCCTTTATGTGTATGTGGTGGTGAATGTAAGATGATAGACACAGATTATGTGGCATTTTAGTGTTAGAAGCGAGATATGGAAACAAAATGAGGGAGACCAATGGAAGAAAAAAGGGAAAGATTTTTTTTTTTTAAACTGTTCAAGGGGTTTTTAGAGGGAAAGGTTGAACGATGAAGGGACAGTACAACAGAAGAAGAGGTAGAGAGGGAGACAGTTTCCCTCCACGGGGTTGTGATTAGTTGGCCCAGCAGCTGCTTCAGTGCTGGCACCAGCTTTGTGCTGCAGAGGGCTGGCAAAAACACACACACACACACACACATACACACACATGCGTACACACATGCATAGGGGGGAGGGGGCACTGCGGCAAAGGCCATGCCAATGTGCCAACCATCAAACACACATTCACAGAACACTCTTTACTAAAACCCTAACACCAGAAAACAGTCCCAAACGATAATCACCCACAAGCAGTTGCAACCCCTTCTGATTTTCAACACCTCTCATGCAGATCACAGTCTCCGTACCCCCTTACTTCCGTACCTGGGTCCTGTTAAAGGCCACTCGTGCAAAGACAGCTTGAGAGATGCCTGCTCTCTTCAGTTCCTCCCTCACACAGTGGTAGATTTCAAATGGCACGTCTGACGACCCAACAGAAGACCCAGCCAATGTCTGGGTTTGCGTCCCGGCTACAGGGCCTCCTCCTGGGCAGCACTGGGCCTGCTGTGGGGCTTGGGAATCAGGGGCTTTGGAGAAAACCATTGGAGGAGGGGGAGGAATCACTACCGGCGGGTGGTTGAGAAACTGCTGTGGGGACGGTGAGAGACCCTGGCCAGCTAGCATGCGGCTAACAGCATACTGCTGGTTGAGAAACTGAGCCATCACCAGCTGCTGGTTGACCATTTGTGAGCTTAATGGCTGGGTTACCAACCCGGGGGGGCGCCTGCCGAGCGGGGACCGGCCACATATGCTGGCTACTTCTCCATGAGAGAAAAACATGGTTGGGCTCTGATCAGCTGGGCTGCTTGTGATTGGCTGCTGAGTGAGGGTGATATGTGCAGTCTGGTCAGAGAAGCTGTCAATATCTGGTGCAGGAAAAGGAAAGCAAAGACAGATGTTACATTATTATCACATCAAATGCAAACAGTGAGTCCTAAATAAATACTAGATACTAATTCCCTAGCAGGTTTGAGTGATAGGATTAGGGTAACATCTAAACTGAAGTATACTTAAAACAGACAGCATGCAAACAAAATATGGTAGATTTTTGAGTGAGCTGCCAGTGGACACCATTTGTTTTGTTTTGTTTCAAGATACCAAATATGTCAGTAATTAGCTTTTATGCCTCTTTAAAAAGGTAAATGAGAAAAAATAAGTTGATGGAGACATTAACACCATCAGCCTGACCAAAGGGAAACTCATCAGTGGTTGTGGTCTTAAAGGCATGCCACTCTATTCTTCCACAATGCAAGAGAGACACCATGGATGTCTAGATGTCTGATGTTGCACATATTTCATGATTTACTGTAAGTATAACATAGTTGGTCTAACTTCTAAAACAGTATACTGCCATGATGTCTACATACAGTACTGTACATACCACATAGAATAAGTATGTAGTATGGATTAGGGACATGCTGTGAGACTTATTAGGCACACTTAATGTTTGCATAATTGATTGAAGACCCTCACCCTTGAAGCATTTGGTCTTCTTGAAGTGCTTGTACCATCGACCAAACTCGTGACACTTGGCAGCTGAGACATTTGCATAGTAAGTGCTATTTACAATAGATGATATCATACTCTGAAACAGAGGGGAAAAGACAATAGAAATTCATTACATTTTCCAAGCTCCTGCTATGGGCGGCCTGGGTGTCTCAGCTGTTCACACATCTGATATTAATGAACTGAGATCTGTGTTATTAAAAAGACCCCCAGGTAAATAGGATAATAAAGACAGATGAGTGTGTCAGAGTGTTAGCGTGTGTGTTGTTGTTGTGTGTGAGTGAGTGTGTGTGTGTGTGTGCAATCAAACAAAACACTGTATAGGTCATCAGAGACTATGCCTCTCTCTCTGTCTGTCTGTCTGTCTCACTCACTCTCACTCACTCTCACATTTTCCCCTAAGACCATCCTGTGCAATCTTTACATCTGATTACACCTTTCATCTTCTTGTATTTATTTTAATCTGCCTCTCGCAAACAACAGCGGGGGGGGGTTATAAAGGGAGTGATAGGAAAGAGAGATAGACAGAGAGAGATATGGGGGAGAAAAGATGGGGAAGGGAGGGTTTATAGTATTAGATCTGCAGAGAAGGAAGAAGTCTGAAGAAAAAAGGATATAGGGAGCATTTTTTCCGCTTTTTCAAAATGTAGATGTCATACACACCCTCAAATAACAGATAGACTAAGATGATAATTATAAATCTTATTAAAAAGGTCTTTCCCAAATACTGCATGATTAACGTAAAATTACTTCTGCAATTGTCTCTGTTTTTGATTGATTAAACAATCAGGATTTTAAAACCAGATTTGGGCATTATTGCTGAATCAGAAGCTAAATACCAAAGAAGGTGAGTGGTGGACAGATAGAGTGTGGCAGAGCTAGGCAGGGGGTGAGGCAGGGGGTGAGGCAGGGGGTGAGGCTGACAGACAGACAGAGTGACAGGCAGACAGGTAGGCAGTGAGGAGAATCGAGATATGCAGCAGCCCAGGCAGGAAGGCTTTTAAGAGATATCCATCTCTCTTTATCTGCTTTCTCTCTCGCTCTGCCCCCACACCTTATCTACCTCTGCATCTGGACTTCCTGTCTAACTATTGGACCACGTGCCTTATGCGTCAAAGTAGGCATAAACACATACACAGACACAGATTTGCAGGTCATGGAAGGGCAAAGACATTTCATGCAAACCTCGAACTACAGTGCAATGTCTCTTATGTTTTCTTCTTGTATGCGCTAAAAATGTGTGTGTGTGTGTTTGTGTGTTTGTCTGTGTCTGTGTGTGTGTCTTGTACCTGGGACAGGGGGCACTCCTTGGCCAGGGAGCTCTGGTTCATGTCCTTCAGGAGCTCCTTCAGAGCGTTTCTCACCGTGGAGTGACTCCACTGCTCGGGTGGTAAGTCCTCCAGTTTGGGACAGCTAGTAAGGGAAAAGGAAACACTTCATTTAATTTCCATCTTCATTTCGAACAGATTAAAGTAACAAATGTGAAAAACAGAATACCGTATTGTTAGAATATAGTATTTATCACTATTCATAATAATATTTATATATTCAACAACAAATAGTCATATTTATATATTCAACAAAATATTCATAATAATATTTATATATTCAAAAAAAAATATTCATAATAATAAATCATATGTCCGAAAGGGAGCAGGAGGAAGCAAATGCCTATTAATTCCCACCCCTTACGTACTGCTGATCAATGATTATCCTTTAAATCATTTCTGCAAGTTATTCCTACTTACATATTTACATTTATACAGACATTACAATAATTCCTCATCTTCAATCACCTTTCTTCATTCTCATAGTTTTCCAAAAAAGTGTTTCTGTACACTCTTTTAAACTGAATTATATGTGTGCTTTGTTTGAACTCCTGCTCCAAACCATTCCATACAATCACCCCACAGATTGTTATGCACATACTTCTCACAGTTGTTCTGACCTTCAATAGAATTATCTTTATATATTTCCCTTTAGGTCCAGTGATTTCTTGTTGCACTTCCATAAAGATGTGAAAATCAACGAACTGGCTTTTAGTATCCTCTATGGTTAAAGCTCTTAAAACGCTGTATCTATAAGTCCCACAATGTAACTTTATGGCATCGTTGATAAGACCCTGATGTCTTGTTCGGGTTGTTTCCTCAGATTTAAGAAATCTCTTTTTCAGAGCCACAACTATTTTCACAGGCTGAGTATTTCTTCTTGTAAACTGAACATCATCCAGTCTCAAACACAACAGTTTCAAGAGTGCCAATTATTGTCTGGGCTGTGTATGAAATAGAAGAAACTCATGTGAACACAGGAAACATATGTTGCCATGTCACAGTCGAAAAAATGGGTTGTAAATAATAAAGTTAATGAAGTCTGAATTCATGTTACTGCCTACCATTGTTAATTATATAGGTATCACCTGTGGTTTTCAAATATTAAATGATCTATTGTGTCTTGTGATGATAAATGTGCAGCACATGTCCTGACACTCATGGTGGATCTGACACAACTTATATTAGTTGTGCAACTAAACCGCCTAAAAAAAATTGGGCATTGATTGCTTAAAAATGATACACTATAACTCTACATAATAATTGCAACAAGCAAGCAAAATAGCCGATTCAATCTAATCTAATGGCATCCAGATTGAATAAAACAAGAGATGTATCATTCCCTGCTGGGTCTGGTTTGCCCATGCCCTTTGGTCATTTCCCTTTCTTAATACAAGTAATACATGGTGGTGGCTTCTGCAGCATGCACTATGGTGAAAGGCTGGGAAATAAAGAAACCAGCCTTGCCACTAATGGTCACATTCACACCGCCTGATTATTGTAAATCCACGGACAGGATGTGGTTTAAATCTTAACTGTAGCCAGAAACTAAAATAGATGTGATCCCCCTACCTGTGCAGCTGTATTTTAAGTGTGATAATATGGTGAAGATCTTGCAGCATATCAGCCACGGTGGCATCAGGAGCATCTGTCACACAGGACAGCGGCACCGGGTTCCACCTGCCCACCTGGATCAGACCTGAACACAGTAACACAATTATGAATAATGTGAGTAACCAATTTGTATGTAATTGATTATCTTTGCAAGTGTCTGTGATGTACCTCTGGCCTGTGCAGCAGAGCTGTGCGAGTAGCCCAGTGTTAGCAGAGCCATCTCTATCAGCTGGTTGAACAGCAGATCTCTCTTGACCAACACAAACTCAGCGTGTTCTTCTTTCCTCTCCACCTCCAGAGGATTTTCTCTGTGCTCCACCACACAGAAAACCGGCAGCAGGCTCCCTGAGGTAATGGACAAACAGTTATTAGACATATCGGATAACACAGGAGTCATAATGCACTGAAAACCCAGTCTGTAATCCCATGTACCTTTGCTGTGCCAGCTCTTGCTCTGGGGCCTCACTGGGGTGGGTTTCTGGGACAGGCAGGGGTTTTTGGCCACAGGACTCCCCTGACAGCTCCTCTCCTGCGTCGAGGGTCCCGCTCCGTTTTGTTCCAGTCGAGCCAGCTTGGCAGGAGGCGGCCGGGGGTCTACAACCAGATCACTGCCCTCAGGTTTCTTGGCTCCATTACACAGGGCGGCCATCTGTGGGCTCACACTGATACAGAGACACAGGCACATTACAAATCAAACAGTGTTCGAGGAAATCTAATGAAACAGTATCATACAATCTTGATAATATGTGTGTAGTGTAGGCAGCAGTGAGATTATGGTGATCTGCTATATGTTCCAAAAGAGTGTTATCTAATTTATATTGAAAAATAACTTTTGCAATGACAAACAGTGTCCTTGTAAAAATGTGTCCATGGGATAGAATAGGCTGCATGGGTCTTTACAGTAACTAAGTAATGACATCATTAAATATAAAAGGAGTATATTGATACTGTACCTGGCGAGCATCACACAGTGAGGAAAAAAGCAGTTTCAATCTTTTACAGTTAAGTCTTCTAACAAGAAAACTGGGTAACAATTTTTGAAAAACACCTACACACAATGATATCCGGATCAGTTGTTGTGGATGACCTTCAGCCAGATGCAGCGATTAGGATAACCCTCTAAATCCAGTAAAAGTCCAGTGAATGATGGAGCGCAGTTTCCCATAATAAACCAGCTGTCATCTCAGGCGCGCCGCTGCAAAGCAAGAGCGATTCAGTTCATCCTCGGCACCTAAATGCGCGCTAATTGTCCCACGTCTGATTCTGCTGAAGTTTGATCGAGGAGAAACCAACCTGTTTCAGTCGGCACAACGTGCAAATCCGACCTGCCATCACACATTTACAGCCCGTTTCTCTATGTAGATATCGGCTGTATCCATACGTTATCCTCCCTTTTATTGATCTCCAATTCAGGAACAAAAACGCGTATCTTTGCTGTCTGTATTCGTCCTTTTCTTCACAATAATCGCCCGTTTTACATCGGCATTATTTCGTGTTTACTGTCCAAGTTTTGCCTCTGATCGCCCTTTATCTCCGTCCGCGTTTCGCTTTTCGGTGTAACGATACATTGGCCTTAGAGCAAGTTGAGAGCGACCCCCCATCCAGAGCACCGGGGCATGCTGCTTCTGTGGATCCGGCTATGGAGAGAACAATGCTCGGTTTGCAGATCCCAGAGAGCATACACTATAATATATGAGGCAACAGCGGTGACTCCGGGACAGCAGTTGTTGGTTACACTTCAGAGCTCTATGCGCACGCGAGAAGAGGGAGAGAGAAAGAGAGTGGGAGAGAGAGACTCCCACACCCACACAGACTAATAAATACGCGGACCCAGCTGCATTAGCATATGGTGTAATAATGAATTCACTAGCGCGCTCCGTAAATGTATTAAATGTGACAATTGCGCATAAATCTATTTATTATTTTCTGCCGCATGCTGTGCACGCACTTATTATTGTCTTTAGGGTATGGAGCTCTCCATGGTAACAAAATGGAGCAAGTGGCTGACTGATATTAACTTTTGAACGTTGATGTGTTATTGTCACTAGATTAACTATGGCTTATGACTTATATGTAGGCCTGGATAATTACAGTGTACGAATGTGCTCTATATCCAATTACAATTATACAATAGCCTACTATAACAGCCTAAAGTCATCGCTATACTATACCACAGTAAAATAGGCTATGCATGTTGCTTACAGTACTATAAATATAGAATAGTATCATATAGTAAACTGTATATAAAGAAAAGCATATTGTTGTGGTTCAGCGGCTTATACTAAATGATATGATGTCATAATATTCACTTCTAAAAAGGTAAAAGTAGAATAGGCTGCATATTATATGGATGTCCATTAATACCAGTATAGTATAATACAGGTATTTAGGAACTATTGCTCAACAATACCCTATACTATTCTTTACAGTTAAATTCCAGTATAGTAGTATGTTATAGTATAGTACAATCAATAACAGGATAGTATAGTATAGTATTGCCAGTATAACACACAGTATAGTATAGTAAAGTATAGTATAACACAGTATAGTATAACACAGTATAGTATAGTATAATACAGTATAGTATAGAATATCGTTATATAATCAGATGTAAGTTCTAGATATATAGATAAAGCAAACATCTTTCTAAAAACAATAATTTTACTCTAATAGACTAATTTGAATGATACTGTAAAATATCAACGAAACCTAAAAGAAGACATGAAAGGAAACATCACTGTACCTCAAAGTTGTGAGACTGATGAATCCGTTGGCTGAGAACACAACTTATCTTCTGTTCCCAGAAACTTTCAGACAAGTATCAGCAGACCTCTGTGGACGAGAGGCACTTCTGGAGTCTGAACACTGTGAAGGTATCACAAAGCAAAGGGTGGCAGGTGTTGAGTGTCTGTGAGAGACAGAAAGAGAGAAGAAGAGTCAGAGATCTATCATTCTGGCAGATAAGAGTCAAAGACTGGCCCCATGAAATCTTACACCGGGCTGGTCACAGGTCTGTTTTCTCTGCAGAGGAAACGGGTAGATGGGTGGATGTTGTGCAATCCGAGTGTATGTTTGGGGAGAGAGAGCATGCTCTACTACTTTTGACTAATTAAACAAAGTGAATTAGCTATCTCCCCAGCCAGAACGAGTCATGGCTGGTTACACATCATTCATCGTGACTAATTTAAAGAAAGAGATGTCACTCAGCTGGATGGAAATGTGTTTGTGTGCACTCCAATTGAACCTCTGGGTATGTAAGAGTTCACTGTTTTGCGTGTGTGTTTGAGAGATATTTAGTACTATGTTGTGTGCACCTGTGCCTCTGAGGGTTGATATGTTCATAAGTCTCTCTCCCTGTCACCCTCTGCTCTACTATTTTATCACTGGCTTGATACGTCGTCAATGAGGCTGGCATGCTAAATGATAATTAAGACCATTACACGCTCACAGAGCATGCTACCAGTGCAGCACACGGCTCCCTCCTCCCTCGGAGCCTCATCTCACGGGACACCCTACTACTCACAGTCGTGTATCTCTCCAAATTAGGTTAGATTTTCATTCCACCTCATTCGCCATGGATGTGATGTGGTTATTATAAACTCATGATATGGTTAGTGAGCCTGCTGCCATTAGATGGGCGGAGAGGCATCATGTTGGAGCGTTAAAGGGGAAATGGATTGCCAACACTCAGTATTGCACATCTCTGTTTCTCTTGCCCGTGCATATGTGAAGTATGTTTGCAGATGCACACTATGATACACGTAATGTCATAGAAAACACACAGAGATTCACAATACAAAGTTAGAGTTTGTGCAGATTGACAAGCAAACTAAACGATCATCTACTCAAAGTGTATAATACCATCTCCAGTGCAGTGGTTGAGGAAATAAAGTACTGTACTTACTGTAGGTACAATTTTAGGTACTTTTCTTGAGTATTTCCACGTATTGTCTTTATGTTAACCGCAATACATTTCAGGGAAATATCTTACCAAAGTGTTAATAATCTTACATCCCCTAAGATTACCTTGAGACCTTTTGAAGGGTGCCATCCCTTTGGGTGGAAAATACTGGACTAAACTAACTGTACTGTCTTCAGGTAATAAAATGTGTCCATTTGAACCCAGTACATCAGTGAAATGATACTTGCACCTTGATGCATCAGTATTGAAAATATATCTGTATGTAATAATATACAGTATCAATCACTGCCTTTTTTTAAATGTTACTTCAAATTGAGTATTACTACATGTTAAACAAGGATCCATGTACTTTTTCCACTGTCCTTGTCTTGTCTGCCTTTAACCTAAAACACCTTAACCCAGAAACGTCTCTATATAGACATATTACATGTCCATACAATGGTGTTATCTGACATTGTGCCAGAACCAGGCTTCAAGAGAATTGACGCTCCTCAGGTTTCTCCCCTGTTAATGGACCAGCGCAGGTATCAAATATTGGCTGAAAAAAGCCTCAGGTTAAGGCGGTTTTGATGTATACAAATCAGGGAGTCTGTTACAAAAGAGGGTCATTCTTTGAATACAGGGACCTCCAGATTTCAGATGAGATTGTGAGCTCGGGATCAGAAGGATCCGTACCAACTAAATGGAAAAAATGATGGGTTTTGTTATGTAGTTAGAGGGTTTTCAAGCTTTTGTTTGAGATAAAGATGAGAAGACAGAATAAAGGACAAAAGAGAGACATCGGGTACGAAGAGAGCATGAAGTGTCATGGGACATTTTTCTGTTTGCTTGTATAGGATATGAGCAAATATAACAAGGATGTATAGGATGACTTTGGCAATGAGCGATGATTGCATTGTGTGTGTGTGTGTGTGTGTGTGTGTGTGTGTGTGTGTGTGTGTGTGTGTGTGTGTGTGTGTGTGTGTGTGTGTGGCTTTATACATGCTGCACATACAATATGGACCATTAGCTTTGTCAAACTATCTGCACAAAACTTATGGTTGCATCTTTAAACAGCCAAGCCCACTTCTTGTATGGCACCTGAGGGCATCATAAAAACCACAAAGTTAAAATGCATGCACAATGTTTCCTATGCAATGCAGCAAGGGAGTCTTAAAGCATAAATGCATAACTGTATGGTATGCAGGCACAAGGCCAGATCTGATAAGAGTTTAATCAAGACGGGTGATAATGAAACTAGAGAACAGAGAGAGACAGAAAAATACTTATTCCTGTAGTGTGTTTGTTAAGAAAAAACACATCACAAATCTTGTAACTGTGTGACTTTAACATTTAACTGATTAAATTGATCAGGTGGTACTGATGCTTATGACGTTTCTGTCATATTTAATACACATTGTCAATGTTAAACCTCTTGCTGTTGTTGGTTGTATTTGTCTTGTGTCGTAGCAGCTTTCTAAACAGCTGTGGTCTAGAGAGAATAATCAGTAAGGTAACAAACGTACAGCAACACAATATTCGTAATAAAAGCAATAAGGATCTTTATACTTGCAAGTATGACGTCTCCTCCAAAAGAGCACGTACCTTTCTGAGTGAAACAGTCTCTCTTTATAAGAGGACATCAAAGCAGATTTACATTACAACAACATTCTTGGAGGCCAGCTTATACCCCCTCTGATACAGTATGCAAAACCTTCACTCAATACAAGACAATGGGATATCCAGATACCCCTCAGCCACAGTATGCAAAAACCTTACCCCCTCTGTTGACCACACATACATTTAAGAATCTCTCCCATGCTGTGACCTAATCAGAGGAACAGTTTACAGTCTGCAATGTTAATACACTTGATCACACAATTTCCATAACACTTGTTTACCATAAAGGGACTACAACTGCACAAGGACAATACATGAGCCTTAAACCTCCAGTATGGATCAATTGGTAAATATATTTGGCGACTCCTAGTGGTAGAATAAAGAAAGACACCTTGTTTAGTATTTTTTATTCAAATAGCTTTGCACTATGTATTTCTGAAATAGAAATAGAGACGTTGATGTAGGTTATATTAACTCTCTCATGAGGTTAAACTGTGAGCAACACAAAGTGTGTGTTTGAAGCGGTGATTAGGCTTAAATATGCATTAAGTACGTAATTACTCAGGTACAGCATTGCTGCCCATCTGCTGTCTGTTTCATTTTATTAGCTTACGTATGGATATAAACCTCTGCGTTTCACAGTGACTTATCTCAGGGAAATGACTCATGTTTCTTTGTATGTATCATGCATGTGCTTTGTATGAGTGCATGTAGGTAGTATGTGACTCACATGCAGCAGCCAGCCTACCTGAGGACTCACTTTTTCTAAATGACATAACAGCTACTTTTATTTTGTGGAGGACCTGAGTAGGAGGCACAGTGATAGATGTTGGTGTTCAGCCCGAATGTTGTGGCACTGAAGGTAATGGGATTGACCTGGATTGGAGTTTGGTCTGTGTTGTTTTGCTTATATACAGTATGTGTGTGTGTTTGTGCGTGTGGATGTTCTCCAGGTTTGTTGTTATTTGCCAGAGGTGTCTTGTACTTACAACCTGATGCGTGTCATTAAAAAACGTTGTGTGCAATCCAATTAGAGGATTTACAGACTAGAATTTGCAGACTTGGATTAGAAACTGGGAATACTTGAGGAACATTTTTACTTCCAAAATGATTTCCATCATTATATTGTGATATTGCCCAGTCTGCCATTTTAGTGAGGCATGCTCGTAAACCTTGATTTCACTATCAGTCAACATGTATAGCTCTGGTAAAGGTTTCAATAACGTTTTATTAGAACCTATAATAATACAAAATCAATCATTTTTGGATTATATATTGGATTATTAACCTGAATCTTCATAGTAGCCAAAGCTGTCAGATGAGTGTAAAGGACTAATATTTGCCTGAATTGTAGTTGAGTGAAAGTATAAAGTGGCAGGAAAGGGAAATACTCAAGTACCTAAATACTGTCGACCACTTATTTTTAAATGTTTTAGGTATTTTCTTGTTGATGAAATATCTACGTTCCCTTTTTGTACAACATCTATCCCTTAAAAAGGACAGATGCTGTACACATAACATTTATTTATTTATTAGTTTAAGTGATAACTTCACAAAACTCATATTTCTTCTGTTTGCATAGTGTAACTAATTTACCGGTCTTTACATCCCATTTAACACATTCCTTCTGGCTAGAATATATAGAACATGCGTGTATTTTCTCTGCATTCTTTATAGACTTCATGTGGATTTTATTATTTGATATACTTATTTAATGAATCGGAGACTGGCACTCTACTGTCCACATGAGGGCGCTGTGGTGCAATGGATGGGTTTACTGCACAAACTGTATCTGAATTGCTCATGATGGTTTTTCTCTGCTCCAGCCAGGCATGACTTCTATCCAGGTAGTGGCTACATCTAACCATCAGGTGGCGCTGAAAATTCACTCTTTACTGTGGCCTGCTGACAGGTGGTGTGCGCGTGGAGAGTCAACACATGCGTGGATGAAGCAATTACCTCAATGTGTTGTGCAACATGCTGTATTATATTTAAGTTGTATATAATAAGTGGCAATAAGGCTGCTGTGTGTAATAGTTTCTGGTTTGGAGTGATGGGGGATCCTTGCAGATTACTACATTTCTGCCTCTTTGCATAATGCCTGACCTTTTTCTTCGCGTTTTTTGCACCACACACAAGCGCTGGTTACTGCATTTTTAATTGACTGTCAAACTCACGTCATAAATATGCTTGCCGACACTTGTACGACACAAATGGACAACATGCCCTATCCTGTCGTTTTTTATACTATGTATTTCAAAGTTGCTATGTTAAGAAAAAAGAAAATAACGTTACATAAAGTTGTGTTTCTGACTCGTGATGTCACCGTGTCTCCACACTGAGGAACTCCTCTCTGATCCCAGTTGGTGTTGAGAGTGATTGATTTCTCCCACCATTGCGCGCTGTGGAGAGATGATCATTGAATCCACGGCACAATAATGGCACCGCTGACAGGAGGTGTCGCTCCCTCTCGGTCGTCCCTGGATAATACCTGAACTGCACCTGTGGGCTTCATCTTCTCTTGTCATTGCCACACGCAACAGAAGCCCCAGACACGCGGGTGCGCGCATCACGTGCACTCTCCATCGACTGGGGATCGCATTGTGCTGAGTTGACCGGATAAGCGCCTTGTTCATATAGGTTCCGCGGCTTCAATGGGAACAGCTCACACATTTGGACGACTTGCGCCTTCTCTTCCGTAACTTTGATGGGGACTTCGATATTGAGCAGGGAAAATGCCTGTGATGAAGGGATTATTAGCACCGCAGAACACCTTTCTGGACACTATAGCCACACGGTTTGATGGCACTCGTAAGTTTGCTTTTAATTGCTTTTTAAACACTCGTGTTTTTAGCAGCTATAGTAGCTTTTTAAGTTTTTGTTCGTTCCAGTCCATTTCCTGGAGAAGTAGATTGAAAGACACCTGCACACATCTGATAAAGATCAGGGGCTTAACGATTGGTTGTCCCAGATGCAATGATCTTTTATCTTTTAATCATCTCAGTTATCTTTTGTTTTGACATATATTTTCAGATCATATATTAAACAGGAGAATAATAATGGCATTGCAATTAACAGGCTGAGGCTGTCGCTGTCTGTGGAGCTGAACTTTCAGGACCACAGACAGCGACAAAGGGTTAAACTGGGTGGCTCCACACCACCAAACATTTGGACAACTTGTTCGTAAGTTGCACCCTGTGTCACATATTGCACACATTTGTGAACACACCTGAATACATGTAACTTTTTCTCTGTTTGTCCACTCATGATTTCCCCCATCTTCCTCCCTCTGGTCTGAAACCAGCAGTCACATGTATCCAAATTAATTGGTCTGCTGTGGCATAACAGCAAGTCCTCCCTGGGCTGAGGCTTACACATTGAGGCATTTCTAAACAACAACTTTAGTCTGAACTCCTGCTCTTTTTATTTCTCCATAATGGTCATTTCTCTTTATCTATTCAGCAGCAGCTGACATTTGCTCCACACTTAGTTGATCTCTGGTCTGTGTCTCTTTCTGCTCAGTGTCAACTCATGGGTTTAATTGGTTACATCTAATGCCTTTTTTAGGAAGTGATGCAAATCCTTTGGCTTGTTCTTTTTCAATGGTTTGCTTGATTTGTCTTTACTTTTCATTCAACTTCAGATAGTTACTTTAATGTATCTGTAGGGTAACAGTTAACAAATACCTTTATTACAGAAATGTTCTTGATAAATCGACTACTCGTATGGGAACAGTGAAACGTGCACATCACAGTTTCCTAGAGAACAGTGTTTTGTTTTGCTTAGTCTTATTGTTGGGGACTATTTTCCTAAACACACAAACTGTACCTTTTTTCTGTCATTATTAGTGTTACAAAACACACCATGCAACCTCTTTAAAAACACTTATGCCTGTTTAACATTTTGCCACTTCTTGTTAAAATACATTAGTGATGTTTTTTCTCAACCCACACCTGACCCAACTCATACTCTACTGTTTGGGGCATTCTCCATTTTGTCTGGTTTGTTCATACCTCTCAGAGAGGCACCGTAATGATCACACACATCCATCAGTACTGTACTTTAGTCCCCATGGCTGCAGGTGGAGCACCACTGTATGTACTGTATGAGTGAGAGCAGGCTATATGTCGAGAGGCAACAAACACTGAGCAGCCTGTGCAGGAACTCTCGCCTGACATTAAACAAGGGAACAGGAGAGGTACCACACAGAACAAATGGTTTGTCCTTGAGCTGTGAAGTAGAAGGAAATTAACGTTGGATCTCGACTGCAAGATGGGGCAGACTGGAGGCAGCGGAGCGTGACTGAACAAATGAGGTCTGATGGCCTGTCCAGGAGCAGATATAAAGGAAGTGCTGGGTTCACTGTGATCCTCTTTGATGTCATCCGAAGCCTATAGGGGGGCAGGTCGGACCTTTACACAGAGTATGATAAATGGACAAAAGTGAAAGTCTTTCTCTTGATCTAACATTGCAGACAGTCTTGCCCATAACCTTTGAGGTGATGACAAAGAGGGATTTTCTCCCATGTTCACTCTCAATGTAGGCGTCTTAAAACCTAGTGGTCATAAAGAGATAATAAATGTAAATTTTGATCTTTGAAGTGCAATCCTGTCCATTTGAAAAGCTGTAAATTAGATGTAAAATATTGATGGTGTTAAATATTTTTTAATTAATATTTGTATCAGAATTCCACCGCTGAGCTCGTCATATTTTATTATATTATTATTATTTCATTTTTTAATGACATTTTTATTTGTTCCGTTCATGGTATGCAAATCTTAATGTATAATAATCATTAACAAAACATGTCTCTGTAAACACACCATTGACCGAAAAGGAGCAGGAAGAAGAAACAAATATTATATTACCTGCCCCTTTCTAAAATAAATAAAAATAGATGGTCTGTACTTCATATTTCTTTTTCACAGCCAAAACTATTCACAGCCAAACATAACAGTATCTTAGGATAATAAGAGAAACACAAA